CCCCTGCATTCATCAGTCATTGGTTAAAGCTGCCCCTGGGGAATGGGGAAGTCCCAGGCATTTCCAGAGTGATGCAAACAAATTGGTCCTGGCAGTCTGAGGGCACTCCTGTGACTAAAAGTTTCCTTCATTCACATGGTCAAGAATGGCTCATTTTTTGTACAGCATGGTGACTATGGTTAATAATACTGTATTGTATACTTGAAATCTGCTTAGAGAGTAGATCTTAAGGGTTCTCACATGAGAAAAGGTAACAATGTGAAGTGATGGATGTGTTCATTGGATTGTAGTAACCATTTAACAATGTGTACATATATCAAATCTTCACACTGTACACTTTAAGTATATACAATTTTATTAGTTAATGATACCTCAGTAAAGCTCAAAAATGGCTCATTTTTACATTTCCATTTGGCATTGCGTTAAGTAAGGGTCATGGAAGGGGGAAAATAGAGGAGTGAGAGGGTACCCCCATTCCTTCTAATAGCACATTTTGGGAGTGGCACACATCACTCTTGCTCACATCCATTGGCCAGAACTTAGTCACAAGAAGCCACTCAGCTGCAAGGGAGACTGGGAAATGCAGTTTTTAGCTGGGAAGCCGCATGCTCAGCTAAATTCTATTACAAGGGAAGAAGGGGAAAATAGATACTGGGGAATACCTGGCAGTCTCTTTCACTAAGAATGATGGGAAAGAGTGAAAGGAAAAGATGTGTGAGGTAGGGCAAAAGGCTCCCACTTCCAGGAAGGGGGTTGAGGAGGAGGAGGCTGTATGCTGAGGTGAAGCCATACAGCCTTCATTGTGGTAAGGGACAGGTAAGCAGAGAAGACAGAAACTGGGTGACATGAGGGTTGGGGAAAATGGAGCAAAACAGAGGCCAAGTGCCTTCTAGCTAGGGATGGCCACATGACTACATTCTGGCCAATCGGATAGGAGTACAAGAAGCAATGCAGTTTCCTCGCCAAACTTTTCTTCTTCTTCTTTTTTTTTTTTTCTTCTTTTGAGACGGAGTCTCGCTCTGTCACCCAGGCTGCAGTCCAGTGGTGCAATCTCAGCTCACGGCAACCTCCACCTCCCAGGTTCAAGCAATTCCCCTGTCTCAGCCTCCTGAGTAGCTGGGATTACAAGCAAGTGCCACCACGCCTGGCTAATTTTTGTATTTTTTGTAGACAGGATTTCACCATGTTGATCAGACTGGTCTGGAACTCCTGACCACATGATCTGCCTGCCTTGGCCTCCCAAAGTGCTGGAATTACAGGTGTGAGCCACTGCACCTGGCCTCTTTTTTTTCTTTCTTTCTTTGATTTCCAATTTTTAAGTTCAGGGGTACATGTACAGGATGTGCAGGTTTGTTACATAGGTAAATGTGTGCCATGGTGGTCTGCTGCACAAATCATCCCATCACATAGGTATTCTGCCCAACATCCATTAGCTATTCTTCCTGATACTCTCCTTCCTCCCCGACTTCTTTGTTTTGTTTTGAGATGCGGTTTTGCTCTGTTGCCCAGGCTGGAGTGCAGTGGCACAATCTCAATTCACCGCAGCCCTGACCTCTCAGGTTCAGGTGATCCTCCCACCTCAGCCTCCCAAGTAGCTGTGACTACAGGCACACACCACCATACCAGGCTAATTTATTTTTCGTTTTGGTAGAAACAGGGTCTTGCTAGGTTGCCCAGACTGGTCTCAAATTCCTGGGCTCAAGTGGTCCCCCCGCCGCAGCCTCCCAAAGTGCTGGGATTACAGGTGTGGGCCAGGAACCTGTCCTTCACCACACCACACTCTTCAAGGGCAAAATTGCTCTCTCCTTCCTTGCTTCTCATCCCTGTGCCTGGAATATGAATGTGGGGTAATGAACATTCTTTTTTTTTTTTTTTTGAGATGGAGTCTCTCTCTGTCATCCAGGCTGGAGAGCAGTGGCACGACCTCGGTTCACTGCAACCTCCGCCACCCAGTTTCAAGCGATTCTTCTGCCTCAGCCTCCCGAAGAGCTGGGACTACAGACAAGCGCCACCATGCCCGGCTAATTTTTGTGTTTTTAGTAGAGACAGGGTTTCACAATATTGGCCAGGCTGGTCTCAAACTCCTGACCTCGTGATCTGCCCGCCTCAGCCTCCCAAAGTGTTGGGATTACAGGCGTAAGCCACCATGCCAGGCCCAGTAATGAACATTCTTAAACTATGTGGATGGGTGCACAATCTTGGAATAGACAGACAGTGCTTGGGCTCCTTGTAGATCAGAGGCACCCTACCTCCCAGCTGCCAGCTTGGACCCTTACATGAGAGAGAAATAAATATCTATGGTATTTAAGTTACTGTTATTTGGTCTCTATTAAGGCAGGTACACCAATATTTTAACTAACATGTTCACTTGTTGACTGATCGATTCAATAACCTAAGAGCCACCACGTACCAGCACCACATCAGATACCAGGAGCCACAAAGACAAAAGTCCACAGGGGCCTGGTGAATCAGGGAGCTGACCATGTCTGAACCAGGTCAGAACTGCTTCTCCTTGAATCCATACCTCTTTCAGGACTTGAGCTTCTGCAACAGCAGCACAAGCCTCTTGAGACTGTTGAGCCCTAGAAAAAGTTTTGGATTCAGACTGGGAACAGGGGCACTTGTGTGGAGGGGATGTGCACAGAGCTTCTGGGGACTGGAGCCCAGGGCCCCTCACAGTATCTGATTTCAGGCTTCACAACACACACCAGCATTTGATTTATATCGGTTTTTAAAAATTCTTCGGTTGTTCTTTAAGCCATTAAATAGAAATACCCTGGCCAGGCATGGTGGCTCACGCCTGTAATCCCAGCACTTTGGGAGGCCGAGGTGGGCAGATCACCTGAGGTCAGGAGTTTGAGACCATCCTGACCAACATGGAGAAACCCTGTCTCTACTAAAAATACAAAATTAGCTGGGCGTGTTGGTGCATGCCTGTAATCCCAGCTACTCGGGAGGCTGAGGCAGGAGAATCACTTGAACCCAGGAGGCAGAGGTTGCGGTGAGCCGAGATCGCACCATTGCACTCCAGCCTGGGCCACAAGAGCGAAACTCCATCTCAAAAAGAAAAAAACAAAAAAGAAATACCCTATAAAACATTCAAACTATATTGGAAATATATACAATACTGGAAAAGCCCTTGTTTTGATACAAGCAGATCTGAGTCATTGACCAGTCTTTTGAAAAAGTCAGTTCAAGTGGGCAATCATAAAAACAGACATGTATACAAAATTCATATTCAGGCACTAGTTTTTCTTTGGGTATCTTGACTCAAATCCCCCTTTGACTTTCTTGCATAAATCACACCCACAATCCTGTAATTAATCACCTATTATTTTCAATTTATTTAAACTTAAAGATACTTGTGAAGCAATCTGATGTAGAACACTTCTAGATTTTTAGGATTTTCCCTGAATAGTTTATCCTTCACATCTAATTCAACATGTCAGCAAATCTTTGTGTATTACTTCCAAAGCATTTAATGTCATTTGCAAGGAAACAATTCTTTATACACTCATATCTCATCAGTTTATGTAATATTTAATTCCACTATATGATTACAATGACAATACACCTGGCATAAACAGGCTAGGGACACACCCAATCAACTCTTGGTAAACAGACTACTCAACCCAGGGCAGAGGTAGCTGAGTTCTTGCTTTTCTAGACCAGGGGTTGGCAAACTATGGCCCTGTGGGCCTGTTTTTATACATCCTGTGGGTTAAAAATGTCTTTTAGGGGCTGGGTGCGGTGGCTCACACCTGTAATCCCAGCACTTTGGGAAGCCAAGGCAGGCAGATCGCTTGAAGTCAGGAGTTCGAGGCCAGCCTGGCCAACATGGTGAAACCCCGTCTCTACAAAAATACAAAAATTAACCAAGCATGGTGGGGTGCACCCATAGTCCCAGCTACTTAGGAGGTTGAGACAGGAGAATCCCTCGAACCCAGGAAGGGGAGGTTGCAGTGAACTGAGATCACACCACTGCACTCCTGCCTGGGCGACAGAGTGAGATTGTCTGGAAAAAAAAAAAAAAAAAAAAAATGCCTTTTAGGCCAGGCACAGTGGCTCATGGCTATAATCTCAGCATTTTGGGTGGCTGAGGCCAGAGGATCCCTTGAGCTCAATAATAATAAAATAATGGCTTTTTAAAGTGGTTGAATCTGTAAGTGGTTGAAAAAAACTTTAAAAAAAATTTATGCCATGAAAATTATATGAAATTCAAACTTTAATGTCTGTAAGTAAAGATTTACTGAAGCACTACCACGTCCATTCTTTTTTTTGGTGTATTCCGTGGCTGCTTTCAAGCTACCATGGCTGAGCCTAACAGTGTCAACAAAGACTGTCTGGAGCACAGAGCCTAAAATATTTACTATCTGGCCCTTTACAGAAAGAGTTTGCCTACCTCTGTTCTAGAGCGAAGCCTGAGCCTTGGGCGCGCACCATGCCACAGGTATCTGTTACTGCGTTTTGCAGAAGCTTCAGGTAAGAGGGAGGGCTCCTAGGAGAACGCCTACCACAAAAAGTGAAAATTCCTTCCTTCTTGGCATCACTGTTTCCCAAACCTATTTCCCACTCTTCCCAAGGTAGCTTCATGGTTTGCTTCGTCACCTCCTTCCTGAGCTCAAGTGACCCTCCCACCTTGGTCTACCAGAGCACTGGGATTACAGACATGAGCCACTATACCCGGCTCTGATTTTTCTCTATAGCACTTATCAGACATATTCCATGCTTATTTATTTGTTTATTTATTTATTTGAGACAGAATCTCACTTTGTCACCCAGGCTGGAATGCAGTGGCACCATCTCAGCTCACTGCAACCTCTGCCTCCCAGGTTCAAGCAATTCTGCCTCAGCCTCCTGAGTAGCCGGGATCACAGGTGTGAGACACCACACTTGGCTACTTTTTGTATTTTAGTAGAGACGGGATTTCACCATGTTGGTTAGGCTGGTCTCGAACTCCCGACCTCGGGTGATCCACCTGCCTCAGCCTCCCAAAGTGCTGGGATTATAGGCGTGAGCCACCGCGCCCAGCCTCCATGCTTATTGATTTATTTTCTATTTCTATGTCACTAGAATGTGAGCTCTATGAGGGCAAGGGTTTTGTTTTGCCTGTTTGTTCACTGCCCTATCCCAGTCCCTAGATGAGTGCCTGGCACACAGCAGAGACTTCCTAAGTGCTTGTTGAATGAGGATGGAATTACTCTTGCTGTATAACAACCTGCTGTCTGCAGGACCCTGGGCCTGAGGAAATGCCTGCAGGTGGAAGGGCAGTGGGCCAGTGCTGCACAGTGCACAATGATCAGAGAGGCCTTATGTGTGGGGAGTGGGTACGGGCAGGTGGGTGATGGGGTGCAGAATTCTAAACCTCTAGGGATGAATGGCAGAGGCCACACCCTCTTGATGAGTGGCCCTTGAGCCCACCAGACAAGGGGAATTGTTGGCTGGGGTCCAGGTCCATGGTCTCCCTGACTTAGGGTGGCCTTGCCCGGTGCTCTGAGAATGGGGCCAAGGAAGTCTTAGTGATTCTGTCCCTTACCCTTCAAGGACAAGTTGGAGGCAGGCCCTGGTCTCAAACATCTACAAAAACAATTGTTTCTGAACTTTCTGCCCAGACACGTCTCATGGCCACTGAGTCATGCATCAATGATGGGTGTGGGTGTGTGGATGGAGGTAGCCAAGCCCATTGATAGAGGGCTGAGACATACTCCTCGCTAATCAGCAAGTTAACAAGCTCTCCGATGAGGAGGCGGTGATTAATGAACCAATCGGCTTGCCCTATAATTGGGGAGTTAAATTGGAGGATGGGGGTATGATGGATAGGGAGAGCTTGGAGGGATGTGTGAGGCTGGCTTCTGGTCCACACTGAGACTACCCAGGCACCCATTTACTTTGGCTATAAATGAGGAAGTGACTTCTTCAGAGGTTGTAGCCTAAATTCAAGCCATCCCATACCCTTTAGCTTCTATAATGTCTCTCCTCTCTTCCCATCTGTCCTTGGACCCCATATTCCCCAAAGACATGACGGAGTTCCAGGGATGTCAGATTCCCTGTGGGCATCTCACAGGCTCCATCTCTCTGCCCAGAATCAGTGCACTAGAAACCCCCTATCACCACCATGGTTAGTGCCGCAGGGTCAGAAGAGCAAACAGCCCCCTACTCTCTGGTATCCTTGCCCCTGTTAGCCTGCAGGGTCCTTCTGTGGGCCCTGACTCCTGGGATCACAGATGTCCTAACCAGCTCCCACTGCCCCCTCCATCCTAGGCTGCACACCTGTCTTTTGTCTTTCCATAGAGGAATGGAATTCTTTGATTTCTGCTGTCACCCTCCAAACAGGACAACAGCTGTCTCTCTGTTTGTCTCTCTGTATCTATGTTCTGGGAACCCCTCAGATTGAGGATCCCCCATGGTACGGCCATGTCTCTCCTTTGAGACGGGTTCTTGAAGGACAGGGCTGTGCCTTACCCCCTGGATGAGGAGTCCCTGAGAAGAATGATTTTTCTCCTTCCTCCAAAGGTAGGATCTATATCCCCTGTCCTGGTGTCCTCTTCCACCTCCATGCTCAGCAGGGCACCCTGGTGTTTCCTGGGAGGTGGAGTCCCATGGGGCCTGACTGACTGATAAGGAGCCATTTGCAGAGAATGCCCATGATTGAACCCATAAAAGGGTGACTGAGAGAGCCCTGAACTCTCCCCCTCAGGAGAGCTCTAAAAATAGCACCCACAGCCATCTGTCCTGGGGCTGGAGGGGCTGGCTCAGAACCAGCGACCTGGACAAGTTGGCCCCTTCAGCCCCCATAGGCTGATGGGACATCTGGAAGTATTGGAAGTCTGGCCAGGCCAGGGAGAGGAAGCTGGAAGGGCTTTATGGAGAGACCTTCCCACAGCCCTCTCTCCTACCGGGCAGGTGGGTTTGAGGGGCTTGGCAGTCTGGAGGCCCTTCCCCTACTCAGCCTCCCGTAGTGGGTGGTGGGCCCCAGACATAGCCTTCGGGTCCCAGCTCCCAGGCCTGCCTCTGGCACCACATGGCTACTCCAGGTGCTGAGCCTTTTTGCCCCTCACAATTGAGAGGTCCTCTTCCTGGGGTCTGCCTCACCCTCCTTTTCCTGTTTGAATCATGGGTGACTTTGGCTGCTCCATCAGGGATTCAGTTTCCTCATCTGGAAAATGGAGATAAACTCAGCTCATTGTTTTGTGATGTCTGAAATTATGTGCTACCTAGTGCACAGTAGGTGCTTAATAAACATGAGTCCTTTCCTTCAAAGGATCTGGGCTTCAGAGGCCAGTGGAGACTGCCATGGGCTGGGGACAGTGGCATGTGCTTGGGAAGCCTTGGCATCACTCAGGCCCAGAAGACACCAGTACCCTGATTGACACCTGCATAGGGGTGGGGACATTGCCTGGGGAGGGGGCTCTATGCCACACATGGCTGGACCGGGGTCTTTGTGTGCCAGGCTGGATACACAGGCAGCCGACTCAGCTGCTTCTGGTGGGGGGACTGGCTTCTGCCTCCTCCTGCCTCTTTCCCCAACTCTTTAATGGAGAGAGAACATAATGGAGTGTTCAGAGAGGTCTCTCCCCCAGGATACCATAAACTACAGGTCAGGAGCCAAGGTCAGGTGCTCCCACCCCTGCCTCCAGGAGAAAGACTTTTCCCCCAGAGGTCCTGTCACTCCTAAGCCCTTCTCCAAGGTATTACTGAGCAGAAGCTGAAAATGATTGTGTTTTGGAAAGAGTGGTCACAGATCCCACAGGCTGGAGGAAATGTGTCCACCCTCCCATCCTCCACTCCCACCCACGAACAGGCTAAGGAAGACAGAATCTCATCCCTGGTCCTAGGGGCTGCCCCAGGAGTCTAGGTCCAACCACTTCACTTCCTCAGGAGGCTAGACCTGCCACCTGGGGGCGCGGGGCAGGGGGGGCTGTGGGCTGAACACAGGATTCAGGCTAGGTACCCCATCCAGTGGGACCCCAAATTTGAGCATGGCAGCTGCCCCCTGAGCTCCTGTGAGGTGGAGACGTCACACACTGGCTGGGTGTAAGCTCAGGGATCTGGCGGGGGTGGAAGGAGGAAGAAGGGCTCACCCCCTGCTGGCTCTCCCTCCCCGTGGGACTCCTTTTCCTTTCCAGGAGGGGATATAAGCCCGGAAAGGAAAGCCCTGAGCAGAAGAGGCCTCAGCTTGACCTGACCCAGTGCAGCCCTTGAAACTTCCCTCGCCTTCTACCTCCTGCTCATCTGCTTCATAAGCTGTCGCTGTGAGCGGCTGGGGGCTCAAGCATGGTCTGGTACCAGGAAATCCAGGCTGTTTTGTGGGGAAACTGAGGCTGGAATGGTGGAAGCTGGGGGTGAGTGGTGGGAAACTGGACTGGAGGGGGCCATTGGAGGTGGGAAGGAGGCCCGCGAGTCCCCGGGAGTCCCGTTGCCAGCACAACCCTCTTCTCTAATTTACCTCTCTGGCAGCAGCGGTGCGGGGGCGGTTTATGTCAAGCAGGGCTTATGTCTCTCTGACAGATTAGGAAACTGAGGCAGAAGACGGTGCAGTGCCGGAGAACACACGGCAAGCTGGTTGCTGAACCTTGGTCCGCTACCAGCCCCAGGGAGAGCGCCGGAGCGCGGCCCCGACGGCAGCCGCAGCCTCCTGCGGTGGAGGATCGAGGCTCTGAACGACCCACACCCCAGCGTCACCTTCCCAGATGGTGTCGGTGCGCAGGTCGTGGCCTACCATGGCCACAGTGCTTTTGGCCCTGCTCGTCTACCTGGGGGCGCTGGTCGAGGCCCACCCCATCAAACCCGAGGCTCCCGGCGAAGACGCCTCCCTGGAGGAGCTGAGCCGCTACTACGCCTCCCTGAGCCACTACCTCAACCTGGTCACCCGGCCGTGGTGAGTGCAGGCGCGGGGTGGGCCGAGCGGGACCCCTGGGGCTCTCCCCCTGCGGCCACTCTCCACCGGGGGCGTGGTCAGATTTGACCACGCCCTTCCAGGCCCCGCCCCCAGGCATGGGAAGACAGCCCGGACACACGCCTCTCCAAAACGTTCTTCCCAGACGGCGAGGACCGCCCGGGCAGGTCGCAGTAAAAGCGCCCCCGTCAAGTCACATAACATCCTGCCTCCGAGAGTGCGGTCTGGCCCCACCCTGGCACATCACTTACGACGTCTCCCAGGCTCGCCTCCCCAGATCGGATTCCTTTCCCTTCACTCCCGCAGGCCGGAGGCGCAGACCTGTGGTGAGGACCCCCGAGGCCTCCTGGGAGATCTGCAGACCACGCCCACCTCATTTGCATGTTCACTCCCGACCCCGGAAACCCGGATTCCGCCTCCCGACGGCATCTAGGCAGGGATCGGGGACCGCAGTCCTGCGTCTCGGTGCGCTCGCCTCTTGAGCTGCAGGGCTGTGTGTGGTCCTTCCCTGGTCCCAAAATAAAGAGCGAATTCCACAGAAACGGAATGTGTGCCTTTGTATTTCCTTTCCTTTCCCTTCGTGGAGGTCTCGTGGAAGTGGAGGGTGGAGGCGTGGGGGCCAGAGGAGCGAAAACCGACTCGGACAGAGGCGGGGGCGGGGGCGGGGGTTCCCTCTGCTGGGAGCCCAAGGAAGACTCGACCACCCAGCCTGGGGCTGGACAGCGCCCAGACCAGGGACTGCTGTGGAAGGAACTCTAGTTGAGTTGGGGCAGGGGTGGATGGGGTTCTGGAAGAAGGGGCAGGGAGCGTGGACAGGAGCCTGCTAGGCAGATTAGCAGAGTAGATGGGGACACGGCTGTCCCTCCCGCACCCAACCCCGTGAAACCAAGGACAGCCTGGGCCGGGCCGGGCACCAAGACCTCGGGGCGCTTCCCTAGGAGCTGTATTAGTAGCGCCCAGGACTGGAATGGCTGGCGGTGGCGTGGTTCAAGATGGGGCTGTGGAGGAAGAGCCGGGTGTGTGTGTGTGTGTGTGTGTGTGTGTGTGTGTGTGCGCTGGCGGGAGAGGCAGGTAATTTCTACCGTCTCCCTTCCCCGAGCAGAGCAGCAATGGGGAATGTGGAGGCTGCCCGATCGCTAAAAAATCGCCCTGTCTCATCTCGTTGAATTCACACTCAGTGGATAAGACACGAACTGTGCTTTCCTAGTGACAAGGCCATAGGGACACCCTCCCATGTACCGCCCCCACCTCCCCTGGACTAGATACTGAAACCTAAAGGCGCTGTGGATGTTTAAACTCACCCTTCTGCACCGATTCCAGAGTCTGCCTATAGGGTGATCTTCCCTGACATCCACCCTTCCCTGCCCCTTTCCTCCAAGAAGCTTGCCTTGATTGCCCAATTGCACTCTTCCTGCCTCTCTGGCTGCCCAGCTCTCAGGGCCTCTGCTCTATTCACTGAGAGTTTTGTCTATGTCTCTGTGTCCTGTCTCCCTCCCGGGGCCTCAGGAAGGAAAGGCCTATGTCTCCTTCCTCACATGCAGCCTCCTGTATCTATGGGATGTCTCCTGGGCTTCTAGTTCAGCAAGACCTACCCAAATCTGGCAGGGGACTAGGAGATGAAGGGGAGAATCAGGTTGAGGCCAAAGCCTTTGACCCAGAGAGGGTAAAAAGGACAGGAAGACTGCAGGCATCCCTGCGTGGACCAGGGTTTTGAAGTACTGTTTGCAGTTCCATGGCTCTGGAAGAACAGAAGACTCTAAAGCTGACTCTGCCGTAGCTGCAGAGTAGATCCCTGCTTGGACACAGGTCCCCAGGGGGCCACAGGGCTCTGACACCCACCCTTCCCTGTGCTGCCCTCCAGCCTCCCTGGAGGTAGAGCTGAAAGGGTGAGGCTGAGGAGGCAGGTGTAGGTCAGTGGTTGTGTGGATTCTGATGCTCCATGCCTTTGCCCATGCCACTCTCCCTGCTTGCAGAGACCCCTTTCCCTCTCTTCAGCCTGGAAGATACTCTTAGGATAGTGGTCACCTCCTCCCGGAAGCCTTGCCTGATTTCCTGGGGAGGGAGTTAGTTTCTCTGGCTGCCTCTCCCCACTCATTGTCTTAGACCCACTTTCCATCCCATTTTGCTGCCTGTCTTCTCTCCTGCGATAGTACAGGTGGGATGGGAGCACACAGTGGCTACCCGGAGCTTCGGCTCATTGTGTGGGTGGGGAGTGGGATGATGTGTCTGTGTGTTGGTGTCCGTGATCCCCTATCTATTGGTCTGCCTGGGAGAGCTGTATTCAGTTTAAGGTGGATGGAAGAGAGACCTGGTATGAATTACGCATCACCGCAGACAATTTCTGCGCAGCTTGACGTGTCTCATTGACCATCAGTGACATGGGTCCTCCTCATGTTCATTTTGAGGAGTGTGGAGCAGTTTAGGGTAATAATATTAATAACTACTATTAGTATAATAATGAAATAGCAATAACTACCTTTCCAAAAAGCACTTATTTATGTGCTAGACACTGAGCTGTTCATTTTACATATACGATATTACTAGGCTATTGATTTGGTTTAAAAAAAAAAAACAGATGCAATTAACAGTGACTTAAACAGGATGGAAATTTATTTCTCTTACCTGAAATGCAAGTGACCTCTGGGGAGCTGGCAGCTCTGCTCTATGAAGGCATCCAAGAGCCCAGGCTCCTCATTTGTGGCTTCACCATGCCCTCATCTATGTCATTTACAGGACTGAAGACAGCTCGCCATGATCTCATCTGTGTTCCAGCCAGTGGCAAGTGGGAGAAGGGAGAGGGCAGGTGCTCCGGTTCCTATGTTGTATAATAAGTTACCCTAAAACTTGGCAGCCTCAAACAACCATTGTATGTCACTCATGAGTTTGTGGGTCAGGAACAGGAAGCGCTCACCTCAGCAGTTCTCACTTTGAGTCTCACATGCGAATACAATCAGAGGTTGGCAGATCTGCAGTTATCTAAATGATCCACTGGGCTGATGCCTGAGAAGGCTCACTCCCATGCTGGTGCTGGTTGTTGAGTTCAGCCATGGCTGCTGACCATCGTACCTACATGTGGGTTCTCCAGCATGATATTCTTGGGGTAGTTGGATTTACATGATAACTGGCTTCCTGCTTATTTCCAGAGAATTGGATGAAGGTGGCATTGCTATTTAGTTTGCTAGGGCTGCCATAACAAAGAATCCCAGACTGGGTGTTTAAACGACAGTTCTGGAGGCTAGCCGTCTGAAATGAAGGTGTTGCCAGGGTTGATTCCTTCTGATCTATTCCAGGCCTCTCTCCTTGCCTTGAAGATAGGTGTCTGAGCTGTGTCTCTTCACATCGTCTTCCCTCTATGCATGTCTGTTTCTGTGCCCAAATTACCCTTTTTATAAGGAGACCAGTCCTACGGGATCGGGAGCTCACACACTGTAGTATGACCTTATCTTAACTAATTAGATCTGCAGTGATTCTCTTTCTAAATAAGAACACATTCTGAGGTAGTAGGAGTTAAAACTGCATTATATGAATTTGGCGGGGGGCGGGGGCATGCAATTTAACTCATAACAATTGCTTTTTGTGACCCAGCCTCAGAAGTCACATGGCATCATACCCCATACTCTGTTGGTCAGAGCAATCACAAGTGCACACATATTCAAGAAGAGGGGACATAGGCCCCACTGTAGAATCACACATGAGATAGGAGATATTTTTGTGGTCATCTTTGAAAAATACAATCTGCCACAGGCAGGCACATCCATTCCTAAAAACCAAAAGGCGGAAATCACTTTAACTCTCAGCCCATTGGTTAAAGCCTAGTCTCATGGCCCCACTTAGCTGCAAGGACAACCTACAAGATGTCTTTAGCTGAGTGTCTGTGTGCCCATCTCCAGCTCTTTGTTTAAAAACATTTTTATTTATAAATGGACTTTTTTTGTTATATAACAAACCTACATATGTACCATCTCAAGCTCTCTGATGATGAAAGGAGAACGTGAATATCTGGGCACCTAGCATTATCCGCTAGAAACATGATGTCCTTTGGATGTCATCTAGAAGTCATTGGTCCTATCTCTTCATTGAGACTGAGACAGGAGAATCACTTGAACCCAGGAGGCAGAGTTCGCAGTGAGCCGAGATTGTGCCACGGCACTCCAGCCTAGGTGACAGAGTGAGACTCTGTCTCAAAAAAAAAAAAAAAAAAGAAAAAGGAAAAAAAACCCAAAAACAAAAAACCGTCTTGGCCAGGTGCAGTGACTCACTCTTGAATTCTACCACCTTGGGATGCTGAGGCCAGTGGATCACTTGAGCCCGTCTCTACACAAAATTTAAAAAAAAAAAAAATTGTGGTGTGGTGTGGTGGCACACACTTGTGATCCCAGCTACTTGGGAAGCTGAGATGGGAGGATCCCTTGAGCCAGGAGGCAGAGGCTATAGTGAACATGATCGTGCCACTGCACTCCAGCCTGGGTGACAGAGTAAAGGCCTGTCTCGAAAAAAAAAAAAAAAAAAGCAAGCCATCCCCCGGCTCCGGCTCCTCATGCAGCTTGGACTTCCTTGCAGAACTCTTGCTTCTTCATCTCCATCTGCTGCCCCCACTGCCCCCACCAGGCCCAGAACAGATGTGCAATAAATGACCACTCATTGGTCATTAACTGAAAGCAGCCGGGATTGCAGTCAGACAGCAAGGACACAATGTGATGGAGGACACAATGCAGGCCAAACGTGCACATTTGAACCACAAATGTGCAGGCCAAATGTGCACATCACAATGTGATGAAGGACACAATGTGATGGAGGACACAATGCAGGCCAAACTGCTGCCCTGGGTTTACGTATGTGGGGGCCCTATTCCCATTGCTCCTTTACCTGCCTCGTTCACTCTGTGACCTCAGGTGTTTCTGGGGTGTTCCTCTCCTAGGCTCATAGCACTTACTCCATCCCCATCACTGCCAGTGGCCATCCTCCTTGTGCCAGAGAGCGTGGTGTGGGCAGGGGAAGAGGCACCACCATCATATTCATTTAGTGCATCTGTAGGCCGGGAATTGGTGATTTCAGGGCAGGGCTCTGTGGCAAGCACTATGGGAGTTACTGAAAAGGAGTCCTGACCCAGACCCCAAAAGAGGGTTCTTGGAGCTCCTCCAAGAAAGAATTCAGGGTGAGTCCACAGAGTAGAGTGAAAGTAAGTTTATTAGAGAAGGAAGGAAACGAGGGCCAGGCCCGGTGGCTCATGCCGGTAATCCCAGCACCTTGGGAGGCCGAGGCAGGCAGATTGTTTGAGCCTGGGCAAAAAACTGAGCCCCCATCTTACAAAATAAATAAATAAAAGGGAAGTAAAGAAACAAAAGAGGGCCAGGTGCAGTGACTCATGCCTGTAATCCCAGCACTTCGGGAGGCCGAGGTGGGTGGATCACCTGAGGTCGAGAGTTCAAGGCAGGCTGACCAATATGGAGAAATCCCATCTCTACTAAAAATACAAAATTAGCTGGGTTTTGTGGCACATGCCTGTAATCGCAGCTACTCGGGAGGCTGAGGCAGGAGAATTGCTTGAACCCAGGAGGTGGAGGTTGCAGTGAGCTGGGATTGCACCACTGCACTCCAGTCTGGGCTACAACAGTGAAACTCCATCTCAAAAAAAAAAAAGAAAAGAAAAGAAACAAAAGAATGGCTACTCCACAGGCAGAGCAGCCCCCATGGCTGCTGGTTGGCTATTTTTATGGTTATGTCTTGATTATATACTAATAAACAAGGGGTAGATTACTCATGAGTTTTCCAGGAAAAGGGTGGGAATTTCCCAAAACTGAGGTTTCCGTCTCCTTTTAGACCACGTAAGTTAACTTCCAGATGTTGCCATGATATTTGTAAACTGTCTGACACTGGTGGGAGCATCTCTTAGCATGCTAATGTATTATAATTCGTGTATAAGGATCAGTGAGGCCGGGCATGCTCACGCCTGTATCCCAGAACTTTAGGAGGTCGAGGTGGGCAGATCACTTGAAGCCAGGAGTTCGAGACCAGCTTGGCCAACATGGTAAAGCCATCTTTACTGAAAAAAAAAAAAAAACACAGCAAGGATTATCAGAGGTCACTTTCTTTTATTGCCCTCATTTTTTGCATGTTTGTACCGGCTTCTTTTTGTTTTATCAGCAGGGTCTTGTGACCTGTATCTTGTGCCAACCTCCTATCTCATCCTGTGACTAAAAATGCCTAACTTCCTGGGAATGCAGTCCAACAGGTCTCAGCCTCATTTTACCCAGCCCCTGTTCAAGATGGAGTCGCTGTGGTTCAAACGCCTCAGATAGGAACACATGAATGTGAGCGAGCATTGCTGTGTTCTAGACATGATGACATGGTTAGGCTTTGTGTCCCCACCCAAATCTCATCTTGAATTGCAATCCCCATTGTCCCCATGCGTCAAGGGAGAGACCGGGTGGAGGTCATTGAATCATGGGGGCAGTTTTCCCCTTGCTGTTCTCGTGATAGTGAGTGAGTTTTCATGAGATCTGATGATTTCATAAGTTGTTCTTCCCTGCTTCAATAGGCACTTCTTCCTGCCACCTCGTGAGGAAAGTGCCTTGCTTCCCCGACGCCTTCTGCTACGGTTGTAAGTTTCCTGAGGCCTCCCCAACCATGCTAAACTGTGAGTCAATTAAACCTCTTTCCTTTATAAATTACCCAATCTCAGATAGTTCTTTTAGTTTTTTGTTTTGAGACAGAGGCCCAGACTGGGGTGCAGTGGTGTGCTCTCAGCTCACTGCAACCTTTGCCTCCCAGGTTCAAGCAATTCTCCTGCTTCAGCCACCCCTGTAGCTGGGACATCGGGCCCAAGCCACCACACCCGGCTAATTGTTGTATTTTTAGTAGAGACGGGGTTTCACCATGTTGGCCAGGCTGGTCTCAAACTCCTGACCTCAGGTGATCCGCCCACCTCGGCCTCCCAAAGTGCTGGGATTACAGCATGAGCCACTGCGCCCAGCCTCAGGCAGTTTTTTATAGCAGTATGAAAAATGGACTAATACACTTGGACAGGCAGTATAGAAAGCACCTCCACTACCACTTCTAGATTGTCACCACATCTCTGAGAGGACCCAGAAGAGAAATCCGTTGTTTGTAAAGGAGAAAATGAAAGCTGCAGTTTGGCTGACATTTGTGGAGTACCTGTTATTTCTTAGGCACTTAGGTTTATCTCTGCGACAGAACAGAACGATAAGTGGCCCCGGCATCTGAGTCAATCCCTAGACCCACGTCTGTCAGGTGGGGCTGGGTCCCGACATGAATAGCAGCCAGAACAGTTCCCTCCAGGCCAGGGTCCTGTGGAAGCTCCAACCCTTTGAATAAGGGTTGGAGCCTGGTGTCCCATGGGGGGAAGCTGCAGCCTCTACCCACCAAACTCAAAGCCAGCCTGAGACCAGCCACCAGTTCACACCCTTGTTTTGCAAGTGGAAAACCTCAGTCCAGAGAAAGACCCAGGCTTGCTGAGACAGAACGACTTTCAAATTTGCCTTGTGGAATGTGAGTTGTCCGGTGAAGCATTACTGCTCTTCTTGTTACCAGAAATCAAAATTAAGAGGATCGGCCAGGCACAGTGGCTCACGCCTGTAATCCCAGCACTTTGGGAGGCCGAGGCCGGCAGATCACTTGAGGTCAGGAGTTTGAGACCAGTCTGGCCAACATGGTGAAACCCCATCTCTACCAAAAATATAAAAAGTTAGTCGGCTGTGGTGGCACGTGCCTGTAATCCCAGCTACACAGGAGGTTGATTGGGAGAATTGCTTGAACCCAGGAGGCGGAGGTTGCAGTCAGCCAAGATCGTGCCATTGCACTCCAGCCTGGGTGACAGAGTGAGACTTCATCTCCAACAAAGAAAAGAAAAAAATTGAGAAGATCAAGGCAGAACACTGATGTTCGCTGAGCCTTCCTTTATTCTGCTTATCTTGAGATGGACTTGATGAGCTCATTTTACAGAGAGGAAAAGTGAAGCTCGGAGAGGCTAAAGAAATTACATTCCCTGGCTCAGCCAGGCAATGGCAGAGCCAGTATTTGGACCCAGGTCTGTCTGACTCTGAGCTCACCCTAACAGATCCCTGGAGTTTCACCTCCAGCACCCTATTCCCCAACAGTTCCCCCACCAACTTCTTGGTGTCCTGATCTGGGACAGCAGAACGTCAGCAGTGAGAAGTCCTTTGCTCCCTACTTGGGTGTCACCACGTCATTCAGACACCGTCAGTTACCACCTTGGCCTGAGCAGGGGAAGGAGACTTGGGGTTGGGAAGAGACGCTGGGCAGGGGAGACTCGGGGGATTCTGGTGGGGATGGATTAGTGGGTTGAGAATCTAAGCCAGAATTGGAGACCTAGGTAGCTATGAGATCTTGAGCAAGCCTCTTTACCTCTGTGAGCCTCAGATTTCTCAGCAAAAAAGTGGGAAATTATGCCAATACTTTGACACTCCCACTTAGAAAAAAATACAGTTCAAGTTTGGAGTTAGATTTTGTTCCAAACCCCAGATCTCCCTCTGACTAGCTGTGTGGTCTAGGGCCAGTTACTTGACATCTCTGAGCAGACTTTGGACCCTGAATCTGTAAAGTGGGTTGTTGTGGGGATTTAGTGAGGTGACTGAGCTGGGAGCACTTTGGAAAAAGGGTGAGGCTTTATAAATGATGCTGGTTTTTAGCACTCCCCTGGAATGGGGGCTCTGGGATGGCTCCCAGAAACTGGCACCCCCTCAACCTTTCCCCTGAACCCAGGCACATTAGTTCTCATTCTGTATCCTATGTACTCACCAAACAGCTTTCTCCAAACCTGGCACCCCACTCCTTTCCACCTTGCCTGAGGACCTGAGGCCCCTTCCCTCTTCCCACCTTGTTCTAGTTCCAAACTGCAAAGGATGGCCTGAGTTTCCATTCTTCATCCTGGAGGCTCCAGTTGCAGCCTCCATCTTCTGTCCCGAGAGAATCCGTTTGATTTCGGTTGATCCTTGGGAGATGGGAGGACCAGTTCCAAGGCCTGTGACCAAAACCTTTCAGTCATCCTGAAGTCCCAGAACTCCATCTTTCTTGAACCAAGCCTGCTCTGGTGCCCAAAGGGAAGGGGTGTCAGCGATGGGGGCCCACAGGAGACTTTTGCTGTGGTCCAGTTTTATCGACTATGCTGCTAGTCTGGCACCCCCAGCACTGCCCTGTCCCCCTCCCATCTCTGGCCCCAGTACTGGCGTTGGGAGTACCAGGGAGACAGTGGGAGGAGTGGGTAAGGGCTGTGGAGTGAGAGAGGCTGACAGGAGGCGAGGACTCTAGGGGACTGAGGGCTATGAAGCAGCCCAGCCGAGGGCAGGGACCTGTCCTTGCTTGGTCCAGTGACTGTTTATTCCTGACTCTGGGTAAGTGGGCTCAGCCTGCTTGGGGCTCTGGAGGACTCCCCCAGGCTGGGGCCTGGGATGGAGGGAAGGAGTTGGTGCTTTGCAGGGCCAGGGGCCTTTGAAGGTCTAAGGTCCTGCTTGGCTCTTGCTCTGCATCTGGACAGACCTGTCGCGCTAGAAGCCATCTGATGACAAGTGTGTGCGCACTCGTGTGCGTGGCTGTGAACTGGAATGTGTCCCTGTGTGAGTGTCTGTGCCGGTCTGTGCAGGATGACACGGGCAACAGTGTCTTCTCCAGGACCCATGTCTGTCTCTACAGATGAGTGGAGGGCCAGACCCACAAGGCCATGGATTTCTGTCCTTTGCTTCCCCAGTTCATTCCGCGTCCCGTGCCCTGGGGGTGACCTGGTGTGCCCTTATCTCCCACTATCTACTGCTGCCTCCGAGCCACGAGGCCCTGGAGGCCATGAAACATGTGTCTCCAGGACTCACGTCCCCATTTTCTCTGCTACACTTTTCTAACTTGTGAGGACCTGGCTGCTGGGCTGCTCACAGGACGGGCTCTCCATGCCTCCAAGGCAGTGTCTAGGAGGTGGAGCAGTCAGCTCAGAGAGGCCCTTTTCTCTGCCCTCTTGTCCCAGGCTTGGAGAAATGGATGATGGGCTAAGGGGCTGGGTAGATGGGCCCTGCTTCCTGGGCATAGGAAAATCTGCAGCGCAGGCTCTTCTGCCTCCACCTCCCCTCTGCTTGCTCCCCAGATGGCTGCTGCACGCTGCTGCCTCTCCCTGCTGCTCCTGTCCACCTGTGTGGCTCTGTTGCTGCAGCCACTGCTGGGTGCCCGGGGAGCCCCGCTGGAGCCATTGTACCCAGGGGGCAATGCCACGCCAGAGCAGATGGCTCAGTATGCAGCTGAGCTCCACAGATACATCAACATGCTGACCAAGCCTAGGCATGTGCCATGGACAGGGAGAGAGACCTCAGCCCCTGGGACCCTGGGCCCACTCCACTTTCCTGGCCACACCTTATCCCCAGCCGAAGCCCCATCTCCAGCCCCAGCCCCTTCCAGGCCACTCTTGGGGAAACAGAGCTTCTGTGCTGACCAGGCCTGGGCCCATGTGCCCTGGGCAAGTGGGTGCCTACCGGCGGATATGAAACAGGTGGGCTGGCACCTGGGCACAGGGCTTCCATGTATAGGGAAAGAGACAAAGAGGACATGCTGGCCTTCTCAGAGTGGGGTCCTCCCATGCTGCTGCCCTCAGGTGAGTTTGACTCCCTGCCCTGTCTGTCCAGCTCCCTGGGGCTGAAATGGGGATGGTGGGACTGAATCAGGGCTTAAAAAGGTGTGGTGGGGGGTGGAAGAGGGAGAACAGGAGCCCAGGGCTGGCCTAAGGCCTCCTGACGGCACAAGGCCTGCCCCCCACACTGCCATGTTCCACCCTAAACTCACAGGGAGCTCAGCCTGCTGGAACTGTAATGCTACCTCCTGCCTCCTACCACTCCATGGGCAGTGCCAGCCCAGCTCTCCCCTCCGCACTGTTGGCTCTGGCCGAAACTGGCTCCTCGTTCCCGCATAGGCTCAATAAAGCAAGTCAAAGCCACAGTCTACCCCTGTGTCTCTGTGGACTCCTGGTGCAGGGCAGCAGGAAGAGCTAAATGCATGGAGAGAAAGGGTAGGGCAGGGCAGAGGCAACGGGGAAAGCAGGCTGTGCTTGTAAATCATCCAGAACGTCCATGGGGTCATCAGTCACTCAGCTCATCCTCTCCACTTCACAGAGGGACAAGTTGTGACCAGAGGAAGGCAGGGACTCCTCTACGGTCATTCGGCAACCTGTGAAGTGGCAGTCTTGAGCTTGACTCTTCCCAGTTCAGCACCTGTAGACCCTCCCAACCCAGCCCCATGACAACCCTGCCCCAGGTGCACCAGTGCTTTCCTGTGACTGAGGCAGCAGGAGCACCAAAATGTGATATGAAAGCATCCTTGGCATGGGGGTAGGGGATCAGCCCAGCACAGAGGCACAATTCTGGTGCTATGGCAGTCACGGCTGCATCCAGGGGCCTGAGCTGCTGTCCAGAAATTTGGAGAGAATGGGCTGTCCAGAGAGGTAGCGAAATCCTGGGCGCAGGAGGTCTTCAAGCTGCTGTGGAAGGGGAGGAGGCTAGATTAGCTGAGAGTTCCAGCCACGGCCATGAGTCCAATCTGTGGATTCCACACTCCAGCTCTGGGAGGGTGAGGACATGGATCCTGCCTCAGGGAGGACTGCTCGGAGTCCCAGTGCACCTGTCTCTTCCTGGCCCTTCTCAGGCATCCTGAATAGGTGGGGACAGAGCACACGTGCATGCGTGTGTGTGCGTGTGTGTACACGGGAGAAGTGAGGGAACTAGAATGTGTCTGGTTCCTAGAATGGCTTCTCCTGCCTCCCCCACACGCTTGGCCTGAAGGGATGGGGTTATGCGTTTGGAGAATGAGGCGTCCACTTTCCTGGGCTCAGCACCTTGCACAGATCCCATGGAAATGACACCACAATTGTGTTTCCCCTCAAGTCCTGACTCAATCTGGTGTGTGCAAATGACCTGGAAGTAGAACCAGGTCCTAAAAGACAAAGAGCTTTAAGAGGATGCAGCTGCTTGGCTCAAATTGATTTTTTGTTTGTCTTTGGAGACAGGGTGTTGTTCTGTCACCCAGGTTGGAGTGCAGTGACATGAGCACAGCTCACCATAGCCTTCACCTCCTGGGCTCAAGCGATCCTCCTGCCTCAGCCTCCCAAGTAGCTAAAACTACAGGCACATGCCACCATGCTCAGCTAATTTTTTTATTTTTATAAAGACAGGGTCTTGCTATGTTCCCCAGCCTGGTCTCAAACTCCTGAGCTCAAATGATCTGCTCACCTCAGCCGCCCAAAGTGCTGGGATTACAGGTGCGAGCCACCGTGCCCAACCTCAGGTTAATTCTTAAATCCAAGGGGTGTCTGGATAGAGAGATGGCTTCAGCAAGAGAATGGTTTGAGTCTGAATAAGGGAGCCTGAAGTCCCAGCATTTTCTCTGGCAGCTTAAGGGGATGGGGTGTGAATGGGGAAAGGTGTGGATACTTCCTAGGGCCAGGAGTTCGCACCCTGAAGACATACCTGGATGTGAGAGTAGGATCAGGGCACGGGGCTCTGCCCCCACCAAGCCTCTCTGATGGCCATGGGAGCCCCCAGAAGAGAGAGAGCCACCCTCACACCCAGCTTCTCAGGGACACGCCCTGGCCAGGTCCACCCCTTCCCCTGCTCTGCTCACCCTAGAAGGGCTCAGAAGTCCAGGAGGCAAAGGCGGCCCCCCATACTCTGCATGCTGAGGAGCAAAGGCACCTTTTCTTGTTCCTGTGCCAACTCTGACAGCCCAAACTGGGCTGTTTGGTAGAAACTTGGGCGAGGTGGGACTGGGGGTGTGTCGAGCTGAAGCCCTCCTTTAAGGTTCCAGCTTCTCTCACCTTTGCCCTCCCTCTCCCTCTGCATTGGAGTCCCCACCCCCCGACCCCGCGAACCCTGGTGGGAGAAGGTTGCTGGGGAGCGAGGGGAGGACCCCTCCACCCCACAGCTGAGGTCCTTTTCTCCCACAGCAGGAACTCCAGGGTTCCCCTTCCCTGTCGAAGGACTGGTCCCTCCCCGGCCCACAGAAGTCACTGAAGCAACAGAGATTTGTCTTTATTGTTTTCATTGAGGGGATGAGGAGGAGTTGAGGCCCCTCTCAATATAAAGGGGTTGGTGGGGGGTCAGGCGTCTGGAGGCCAGGCCCCAGCCTGGAGAAGGAAGTCCCAGGGCGCCAGTATCTCCCCGCACGCCCGCCCCCGAGGGCTTCCTCTCGCTCCCACCCAAGCAGCCCCCAGTCCCGAGGCCCCTGATTCGGTGCCGAGTATACAGGCTGTCCTACCTGGGGCCTCGGGAGGAGGTTGGTGGTCGGGGTTCCGAGGTGTTCAGCCACTGGGGTTTCGTAGTGGTCCATGGAGGGGGTTTCGTAGCTTTCGATGGGGAGGTGTTTGTGGCGTTCGCAATTTTCCTGTGGTTTTTAGATTTCTTCGAGCTGAGAACACGTCTTTGCAGCGGTCATGAGGCCGCTCCCAGAGCCCAGCTTGGGCCGCGATGCGCGTGGGTGTGTCCGGCGGCGTCCGTGTCCCCCAGCACCCTCCGCCGCCCTCCCTCCCTCCCTCCCTCGCGCCCTCCATCGGCTCACCTGTTGTTGAAGAGCCTCCCCCACGTACTTCTTGATCCAGCCTAAGTTCAGCCAACTGGCGGCCATGGACTGCTGCGGCACCTGCAGCTCCTCGCCCAGGGCGCCCTCCGGCGGCAGCAGCAGCCACATGAGGCCAACTACGACCAGAGCTCATGCGCAGAGCGGAGCCGGCGTCTGCAGAGCCCGGGACTCACAGAGCCGCGGGCGGTCACGTGACCCCGCGGCTCCGGTCGGCCGGGGTCGGCCGAGCCCGGACCGTAGCTTGCGGGTGTTCCGCGCGGTGGGCAGGCTTGGGTGCAGGGGCGCTCAGGCCGAGGGACGTGACTATTTCTAGGACACACACCAGTGCACGGAAGCCCTAAGGGACATCCTGGTGCCCGGGGGAATGGTGCACACCTGGACATGCCCAGTGATGCACGCTGACAGCATCGAGGTAAAAATGAACGGGGAGACACACCCTAAGGTGTACGCACGAGGTCGGCGTAAAACCATTGGACAGCTCCCTAATCTCATCGACCTCTCTCCCGCAAATTTCTTACTTATCGCCCTCTTTTCTCCCTGCCGTTCCCTCAAAATGTCAGTCACGTTGTTCTCTGCCTGGAAGACCCTTCCTCTAGACAGCCTCATGGCCAGCTCTGTCGCCCCCTGGAGGCATTAGCTCAAAATCCACCTTTGCAATGGGTCTTACCCTGACACCCCTGTTTAAAATTGCAACCAGGCAGGGTGCGGTATATAACGCCTGTAATCCCAGCACTTTGGGAGGCCGAGGCGGGCGGATCGCTTGAGCCCATGAGTTCAAGACCAGCCTGTGCAAAAGACAGAGAGCCCTGTCTCTACAATTTAAATATATATATATATATAGAGAGAGAGAGAGCAACCCAACCCCTCATCTTGCTCTATCTTTTTCTTGCTCTATTTTTGCACTTTTTTATTTTTTATGAATTTTTTTTTTTTTTTTAAGACAAGGACTTGCTTTGTTGCCCAGGCTGGAGTATAGTGTCGGGATCATGGCTCACGGCAGTCTCAAACTCCTGGGCTCAGGCCATCCTCTTGCTTCAGCCACCCAAGTAGGTAGGTCTACAGGTGCACACAATCATGCCCAGCTAAATTTTAATTTTTTGTAGAGATGGAGTCTTGCTAGGTGGCCCAGGCTGGTCTCAAACTCCTGGCCTCAAGAGATCCTCCTGCCTTGCCTCCCAAAGTGCTGGGATTACAGGTATGCGCAGCCACGCCTGGCTGCACTTTCTAACTTATGTATTCTATACTTATTGTATTTATGTCCAAGTCACTTCCCTCAATGTGAGCATCATTAATCACAACTGGGCTCTTTGCTTATTTTGTCTATTGATGTATCACAAGCACCTAGAACAGTGCCTGGCACTTAGTAGATACTCGATAATACATATTAAATGAATGACTAAGTGTTACACACAGGAAAGCCAGCCTGATGATTCACACACCCGATGCACAGAGAATTTTGTGCCTGCAACACACCATGATTCAGACTATATGCCCATAAATGTGATGCACACCCCCAGAGCTCCTAAGCCCCTCAACCCTCTTTTAACTGGGAACTCCACTCATCCCCACCACCCCAAGCAGGGATTAGAAGCCCTAGTAGCTGTCCTGACCATCAGAATGGTAGATGAGGCTGCCCTTGCCTAACTCCTTCATGCCCTTAGTGGGCCTGAGGAGGGCCCTTGGTGCCAGGCCCCATCCCCAAGCTCCTAGAGAATACAGCTGATAGGGAGCCCAAACTTGGCCACCAGACATTACCATGGTGCTGGGCAAGTGCAGAGGAGCACAGCAAAGCGTCTCTGGCCAGGACCTGAGGCCCTTTATATTCCTAAGGATCCATGCCCCCTTTCCCACTAAGGTTCCACTTCCAGCGCAGCCTTCTTTTCCTCCCTCTGTCATGACCTGAAAGTCCAGAGCAGAGAGAAGGCGAGGGTGGAAGCACATGGGAACCACCTGTTCTGACCAGGGCACAGTCCCTGCCAGGGGCCCAGAGGTGTGGGTGGCAGAGGCGGGGAGGCCTGGGGAATAGAGTAATGTTTTGCTCCAAGTATACAGATCCAAGGGAGAAACTGGCTCTGGGTTTGAGAGGGGGCTGTGCTTTTCCCAGGGGCTACTGTTTGGAAGGGAGTTATGCTGAGACCAGATGCCCCTCCCCATCTCACTAGATCCAAGGTGCCTCCTTTCCCTACAGGGCTGCTGTGGGGTCCCAGCACCCCTATTCCCCTCCCCTAGGCCTGCTGCCATGGGGAGGGGGTGGGGTTGCGGTTTCTGGTTTCAGGATTGCAGGCCCTACTGCACAGCTTGGAGATTTTCTCAGCCTGCTTGGCCATTTTGGAGCCCCTGAGGCATGACCTGCTAAGCCTTCTGGAGGGTGGTGGGTCTTGGCTGCCGGGATGAGGAACTTAGGCCTTGGCTACCTCAGGCCACAGAGCCTCAGCTGTGTGGCCTCTCAGGTCCCCTCTACCCGTTCAATATTGCTACCTTTCTGACGCAAGATTGTGAAATGTGCGCCGATTCTTCATGCCCACCCCAACCCCAGAAGGGGCGCACTAGGAAGAGCAAGGGCTTCTGGGTAGGAATCCTAACTTCACTACCTGCCGGCTGTGTGACCTTGATTAAGGGACGTTATCTCCCCTGAGCCTCCACATCCTCATCTGTGAAGAGCTGGTTAGGACTGTTGTGAAGATGGATTTGGATTAGGTAGCTCAGCCTCTGGACAGCTCCTGGCACATGCTAGATGATTAACAGGCGTGAGCCGCTCCGTTCATAAAAGAAACCCCTTTCTCCCATCTCCACTTCTCCTGAAAGTGTCTCATCTTCTGGCCCCTTCTCCTTATTAAAACCTGCTCCTGGCCAGGCATGGTGGCTCATGCCTGTAATCCCAGTACTTTGGGAGGCTGAGGTAGGAGGACCACTAGAACCCAGGAGTTTGAGACTAGCCTAAGCAACGTAGTGAGACCTTGTCTCTACAAAAATCTTTTTAAAAGCTAGGTGTGGCCGGGCATGGTGGCTCACGCATATAATCCCAGCACTTTAGGAGGCCGAGGTGGGCAGATCACCTGAGGTCAGGAGTTCGAGACGAGCCTGACCAACATGGAGAAACCCTGTCTCTATTAAAAATACAAAATTAGCTGGGCGTGGTGGCGCATGCCTCTAATCCCAGCTACTCGGGAGGCTGAGGCAGGAGAATCACTTGAACCTGGGAGGTAGAGGTTGCGGTGAGCCGAGATCGTGCCATTGCACCCCAGCTTGGGCGACAGGAGCAAAACTCCATTTCAGAAAAGCTAGGTATGGTGGCACATGCCTGTGGTCACAGGTACTGGGGAAGCTGAGGTGGGAGGATTGCTTGAGCCTGGGAAATTGAGGCTGCAGTGAACCAGGATTGCACCACTGCACTTCCAACCTGAGTGACAGAGCAAGACTCTGTCTCAAAACAACAACAAAAACAAACAAACAAGCAAACCCTGCTCTCAGTGAGGGTGTGAGAAACTCAATGTCAATGTCACTGAAGTTTATGGGATGGCCCATAGCCAAGTGAGACCAGAACTGCTTTTCTGTGGAGCCAATAATCTCTAGAAAAAGAAAGGAGATTCCCATGAGAAAGTTCCATAGTACAGGGTGGGAGGAGAGATCTAGGGACCAGTGTACCCTAAATACCGGCAAACAGGCTATTCCTTATCCCCATTAGTCACAGCCCGGTGCTGAACGTCTGCCTGCCCCTACAAGAGCTCAAACGATGTGTCCTTTTGCAGCCTCAACTGTCCTTACAAACCCAGGCTCTTTTGCAGGCACTGAGGGCTCTCATCCCCTCACTCTTCTGGACTCCCTTACTCATTCCAGGAACTGTGGAGGGGTATGGGGAGGGAGGAAAGGGGGAAGAGAGGAAAGGAGGAAGCTCAGAGGCTGCCTGCCACCCTCTGAGGGCAGGAGGCAGTGGTGGCAGCGCTGCGATGGGCAGGACAAGGGAATGTGACTTGAGGACACAGCTCCGAGTGGGTCTCCCTGTCAATTGCCCCTTAAACTCTGACTGAAAGCTGCCATTTAAATGGACCTTCCAAATTCACTGTGGAGTATGTGCCCAGATTCCCAGAGAGCAGCAGGACAGGGGCTTCTGCCTCCACTTCTCCGAGAAGAACACTGAGATGCAAAGAGAAGCTACTCAGGCACCTGGTGCAGGCACAACTGGGGCTAAACCCACCATTTTGACTCCAAGTTGGTGTGTGACCGTTTGGACCAGCCCATTTCCAGGGCCCGTGAGATAAGCCCTGTGGGCTTCCTGTGATTGCATGAGTATTCTCAAATGTCATTCTCTGCTACCCACTGTGGAATAGGCCCAATGATAGTGACCTTGAGTCTCCTGGCTGACTCGCCCCAGACTGATCATCCCACCCACCACCGCTACTCGTCTCTCCTGGGGGTGGCCCAAACCTGGCCTCTCAGGGGCTCACTCCTTCCTACCTGCCCTCCAGTGCATCTGGGGTGCTGGTGACGTCCTGAGAGAGACACAGAGAGAGGCCATTAGTTCGACTGCAGACCATGGAGAGCAGCTGGCCTAGGAGGGGCTTGACTGCCCTGTACAGCATCACTGCATGTTTTTCAAAAGTCCCATAGAAGACCTTTTCGCTTGGTGAGGGAGTCCCATGGTGTCCTGCGTTCTCCTCTCTAGACTGCATGCTTCCCGAGGGCAGCTGGGGTCTTGTTCAGCTCTGAACCTCCAGCATCTGGCACAGTGACCAGCTCACCATAGGCCTCCATGGCTGCTTAGCGGGTGGGTGGAGGCGGGAGGGAGGCAGGAGGAAGGGAGGAGCAGCAGAAGGGAAGGAGGGACTCATGGATAAATGGATGTGACCCACAAAGGGACAAAGGGACAGATGAATGAGCGAACAAATGAGCCAGGTATGGCCTGGCTCACGTCATTGGGCCTGGAAGCAGCTGCCGCCCATCCTCCCATGTTCATGCGCTTTGTTTCGCATGTGGGTGTGGAAGAGGCAGAGGGAGGAAACTGAGGGACCCCCCCCATCTCATCTGTGGGCTCCTCCAAAATGGGCTTGTGTCTCCTCCTCTCTTGGATCTTCCTTGCTCCTTTGCTCCCCCAAACCTGAGGCTAGGCCACACCTGGCCTTCAACTGCCCCTTATTACCTCCCAGGACTCTTCTTATCTGGGACTGTGCTAGGGCAGGAAGGGCAGTGTGGCCTGGACACAGGGGCCAGGGAAGAGGAAAGAGTGGCCTCTCCCAGCCTCCTCCTCCCACCAGCTTTCTTCCCCCAGCCCTCCTCCTCCCCAGCCCTCCTCCCCACCTCTCCTGAGGGGGCCCATCCTGCCCTCCAGGCTACAGTTCCAGCACTCATGACGGAACTGGACCTCAGGATGGAACTCAGGACGGCACTGGAACTGGAACAGGCTGAGATGTGCGGCTTGCCACAGGGTCTCAGCCAGGCCGGGGTCCCTCCAGCAGAAAGCGGTCCTTTCTGCCGCTGGGAAAGCTTCAGCAACAGCAGGTCACACTGCTTCAGGTGGGCCCCGCCCTGTGCTGGGGCCACCGCGGTGCCCAATCCTGGGAATGGCGTCAGGACCTCCCACCCCATCAGGTTAGAAAGGGCGAGAGGAGGGAGATGGGTGAGGCTTGGGGGTGGCGTGGGGCACGTGAAGGGGAGGGGGCCTTCTCGGGGGCTTCATTTACTACCCTTCTGGGTGGCAGGCTGACCCCATGGGGGTCCCGTCCCCATTTTACAGATTAGGAAACCAGAGTTCATGGAACAGGGTTGCTGCAGGACCTTAAACCCAAGTTTTCCAGATTCCAGTCTCTGCTCTTCTGTTTTTTTTGTTTTTTTTTTTTTTCTGAGACGGAGTCTCGCTCTGTGGCCCAGGCTGGAGTGCAGTGGCGCAATCTCGGCTCACTGCAAGCTCCGCCTCCCGGGTTCACGCCATTCTCCTGCCTCAGCCTCCCGAGTAGCTGGGACTACAGGCGCCCACCACTGCGCCTGGCTAATTTTTTTCTATTTTTTAGTAGAGACGGGGTTTCACCATGGTCTCGATCTCCTGACCTTGTGATCCGCCCGCCTCCGCCTCCCAAAGTGCTGGGATTACAGGCGTGAGCCACCGCGCCCGGCCTCTGCTCTTCTTATCCACCCTGTTTCCCAAACTTGCCCAGTTAGAAAAATCATCTGGGGTGCTTATTAAAAATACACTTTCCCAGGATTCATGTTGGGCAATTCTGAGTCTATTGGTCTGGAATTGAGCCTGGGAATCTGTATATTTACCACATTCCCTGACTAGCTTTTGTGATCCAAGAAGTTTGGGAAATAGCGCACACAGTATTGGTCACTGCCTGGCCAGGAGAGCCACATTCCTAAGAGGAGGCTGGTAGATGGGATGTGGACGTTGAGCAGATACCCAGCCAAGGTCCCCTGACATCCCTCCCTCCCTTACATGATGTTGCTGCCCAGGTAATCCCATACCAATCTCACATGTTTCCGTACTTCCCAGATAGATCCTCAACCATCTGACCACTTGGTGCCTGGTACAAATAGATGTCTGGAGAGGGAAAGGGAGGAAAGGAAAGATAAGGGAAGGAGGGAAGGACTGATGGATGGTTAGATGAAGGTGAAGGAGCTGAATTCCCATCGGGCCATCAATCCCAGACTTCTTGTTCTCCTAGATCCAAAGTTCATTGATTCTGGAGCAAAGCTGCCAAATTCTAAGACTGACTTTCTAGCTGTGCGATTTCCTTGGTTTTTCTCTTCTGGAAATTGGGGAGAGTGATATTTTCTACCTCCTAGGGTTGCTAGGAGGATTATATGAAATGGACTAACCACATGTAGGCCCTACCTGCCTGCTAACTGGAGTTTCCCAAACTTCTCTCATTTTGCAATATGCTTTACTCTCCAACTAAGCGGAGTCTCCCCTTTGTCCAGATGAGGAAATGAAGGTTTCATGAGCAGGCCGCAACTGGCTCGGTCATTCAACATATCAACAGCAGGGTGGGAATTGGAATTAGAGCTCGCCTTCCCTCTTCCCCAAAGCTGTGAGATGGCACTGCTGCTTCCAAATGTTTGCTGTCCTACACCCCGGTGCCCCAGTGTGGGTGGAATATACATCACTCCAGGACCTCCTGCCCATGAAAGAAGTAACGCCATTCTGGGGCATCCTGACCGCATAGCCAGGGTAAAAGAGCAAAGGTGGGCTGGGTGTGGTGGATCACACCTGTAATCCCAGCACTTTGTGTGGCCAAAGCAGGTGAATTTCTTGAGTCCAGAAGTTTGAGACCAGCCCTGGTGACACAGCGAAACCCCATCTCTACTAAAAATACAAAAATTAGCCGTGCATGGTGGCACAAGCCTGTAGTCCCAGCTTAGGGGGCTGAGGTAGGAGGATAGCTTGAGCCTGAGAGGCAGAGGCTGCAGTGAGCTAAGATCGTGTCACTGCACTCCAGCCTGAGCAACAGAGTGAGACCCTGCATTAAAAAAAAAGAAAAAGAAAAGAAAAAAAAAAGCAAAGCAAAGGTGGAAGCAAGGGATAGCTCTTAGAGCTCCTGCTTGGATGTAGCACTTGCCACTGTTGCTCAGGTGCCACTGGCCAAGGCAAGTCCTGTGGTCAAGCCAGGAGTGGTCAGAGAGGCCCACATCCCTCTGAGCCAAGGGCACAGCTCTCCTGTTTGGAGCCGCCTGCCTTAGCCAGGACATCTGGCTGGATGCCACACCCTCTCTGTATGCCCCGGAAGTCGGAAGCCTCACCAGAGGGTATGCGGCCTGGCCAGGCCCCAGGTGCCCTCAGAAATCACTCGTAGATTCCAGACCCATCAGGTCCAGTCAACCCATCATGGAGCATATATCTGAAACCCCCAAGCAGAGATAGGTGCTATCGGGCTCCCCCTGGCCCAGTCTGGAGTTGGGCTCCTCTCCCAGACACGGTGACGGTAGTAACCCGTTAATAATTAATCTGGGGGCAAATCGATACATTTCCAGTCCACCAGGTCTATACCGAAACCCCTCCCTACAGCCTGGCAGGAAACCCTCAGAGCTTGACCCTTGACAGGTCCAGAGCAGGACAGGATGTCAACCCCAGCTGAGGAGGCCACACCTTGACTGGCTTCCAGTGTGGAGGGCAGCTTGGGGGCTGCGACGTCTGCTCACATATTTCCCGTGTTTCGGAAACTAGACCTCCCTGGTAGCAGCTGATTGACTGACAGAGGGGAGAACAAGCAGGGAGTGATGGAAATTTTGGTCAATGAGGCTGCATATCCTTCAAGACCTGCCTCAAATGCCATTTTAATAGCTATTATTATATCATTATAGCTACATTATATTTCATATGACATATGATATATAACACATTATTTTACTTTAAATCTGGGATGCATGTGCAGAACATGCAGGTTTGTTACATAGGTACACATGTGCCATGGTGGTTTGCTGCACCCATCAACCCGTCATCTAGGTTTTAAGCTAAGCTGCATGCATTAGGTATTTGTCCTATTGCTCTCCCTCCCCTTGTCCCCTACCTCCCAACAAGCCCCAGTATGTGATGTTCCCCTCCCTGTGTCCTTGTGTTCTCATTGTTCAACTCTCACTTATGAGAACATGCGGTGTTTGGTTTTCTGTTCCGATGTTAGTTTGCTGAGAATGATAGTTTCCAGCTTCATCCATGTCCCTGCAAAGGACATGAACTCATTCTTTTTTATGGCTGCTTATTATTATTATTTTTGAGACAGAGTCTTGCTGTATGGTCCAGGCTGGAGTGCAGTGGCGTGGCCTCGGCTCACTGCAACTTCTGCTTCCCAGGTTCAAGCAATTCTCCTGCCTCAGCCTCCCAAGTAGCGGGACTACAGGTCCCCGCCACCATGCCCAGCTGATTTTTGTATTTTTAGTAGAGGTGGGGTTTCACTTTATTGGCCAGGCTGATCTCAAACTCTGACCTCAAGTGATCTGCCCACCTCGGCCTCCCAAGTGCTGGGATTACAGGCATGAGCCACTGTGCCCAGCCCAAGCTGTACTCTTGTCTGGGACCCCACTATAATGTGGAGTGAAGGCTCAAAGTTGGTTTGTCTAACTAAAGGTGTCATCCTTGATTTTGACCTCTGACATCTGGAGAGTACCAGAATTCCCTAGGCTGCCCTTGGGGGGCCTAGGGAACCTTGTCTCTACAAAAAAATATATAATCATTAACCAGGCATGGTGGTGTGCACTTGCGATCTTCTTCCTTTGCGGTACAAACTTTTATTACCTACTCAATTGCCTACTGGCCAATTGGCCAGGAACATGCACCCCGGTGTTTCAATCTCCAAACACTAACATTTTGCCTAACAACCAAACTATTCAGGTTCCTTTAGTAATCCCTATTTCCTCCTCCTCCACATACACCAGGTGGGCTGTACACTTCATTCTCTTCAGCAGGGCGAAACATCTCTGCTACACTCGGCACCAGGATAGCCAGTTGGCCCTTTCTTAGGACCCCACATTTTCCGCCTCATAATACTAACAATTGGCCTATGTGTACTCACCTTCCTATCCCACTTTCTCTCTTGTCCTGGCAACCACACCTTCCTATCCCACTTTCTCTCTTGTCCTGGCAACCACCCAGAAACACATTAATACCATCCACTCTCTTCTCCCAGGTCTGATATCAGCGCCTCAAGGAAAACAGCTCCGGGCAGGGTGTGCTGGCTCACGCCTATAATCCCAGCACTTTGGGAGGCCAAGGCAGGCAGATCACCTAAGGTCAGGAGTTCAAGACCAGCCTGGCCAACATGGTGAAACCCTGTCTCTACTAAAAATACAAAAAATTGCCAGGCGTGGTAGTAGGTACCTACAGGCTGGAGGCTGGAGAATCACTTGAACCCATGGGGCAGATGTTGCAGTGAGCCAAGATTGTGTCATTACACTCCAGCCTGGGCAATGAGGGCAAGACTCCATCTCAAAAAAAAAAAAAAAAAAAAAAAAAAGGAAACAATGATGAAATTGAACACCCACTGCTTCAAAACCCAAACCTGAGTACAGCGCCCTATTCAGCAAGAAGCAGCCAGCCAATCAACAATGCCCCTCTTCCTTTGAAAGTAAAAGGCAAGAATGTTAGTCCAAACTGCACCATCTTGTAAGCTCCCTGCTATTTTGCAGACCTTGGTCAAAGTGAAACATTTCACGGGGGTTTGGGCCATGAGAAAACATCCTGCCTAACCAACTGACCACAAGGCAAAGGCCCAACTAAACAAACATCCCTATCATGTCTTGCTGGACAAAGGTCCAAGGAACACCATGATGACATCCTGCTGGAACAAGGGCCAGAACAGCCGCATCATGGGAATGAATATCTCATCAATATCCTGCTGGGCAGCAAGCCATACTGCCCAGACCCCTCCCACCCATACCTACAAATTGCCCCAGCCTGTAAGCAGTAGTGGACTCTGGCATTAGGCTGGTCCCACACTTCTGTAGGTTTTATGCTGGATGTAAAGCCTGCATTTGCGTTGAGCTGCCTTCTGTGTCTTTCTGTAGCCCTCGCCTTCCCTTCCAAACCTAACAGCAGTAACACATGGTACAGGTTTGTAGCCTAGGAGCCATAGGCCATACCACGTAGCCTAGGTGTGCTGTGGGCTACAACACCTGGATTTGTGTAAGTATACACTGTGATGTTAGTGCAAGGTGAAATCACCTAATGACACATTTCTCAAGCTCCTCCTCATATGGCAAGCAATGCATGACTGTATATGAAAGCTCTTAAATAGGGATTAAGTTTCTAAATCTCTAAAAGAAAAAAGTCATTATTTACTACATATGGATTTTTTTTTTTTTTTTTTCTCCCGAGACGGAGTTTCACTCTTGTTGTCCAAGCTGGAGTGCAATGGCGGGATCTTGGCTCACTGCAACTTCTGCCTCCCAGGTTCAAGCAATTCTTCTGCCTCAGCCTCCCAATTAGCTGTGATTACAGGCGCCTGCCACCAAGCCCAGCTAATTTTTTTTGTATTTTTTGTAGAAATGGGGTTTCACCATGTTAGCCAGGCTGGTCTCAAACTCCTGACCTCAGGTGATCTGCCCGCCTCAGCCTCCCAAAGTGCTAGGATTACAGGTGTGAGCCACCATGCCTGGCTGGAATGTTTTCTTAAAACATTCATTTCAGTGGGAACGTAATTTGGGGCTAGAGTCTTTTATTTAACTTTCACCCCAAAGTTGCAAAGTGTTTTGAGGTTTTTCCCTGTAAAATAATTATTTTAATTCAATTTAAATAAAACCCATCAAGGAAACTTCAACCTTTTAGAAGTCTAGCTTCCTGTGAAATGTGAGAGGAAGTCAACACTGATCTCAGAAATCTGATTACAACAATAGATCTACCCCTTAATGAAGTGAGTCTTGAATCTCTTCCACTTCAAACTGTTAATCTGCACTATGTGCCTATGCTAGGCACTGGAGTAAGATGAAGCACCTTCTTGGAGTTCACATGCTATTGATTATGCCAGACAATGAGCAATAAAATAGGTAAGAATGGCTGTGGGGGAAGTCAGCTGGGTTCTAGTTACAGTCGTATTTCAGGAAATTATTTAATATGCTGACTTTAACAACCTAAGCCTCTTGTCCATGTGTGCACACAGGGTAGACCTCTGAAGAGTGGTGCTGTAATTTCTAGGGTAATGGCCGTGTTAAGTCAAGGCAGGATGACAGTTCAGCCTCATCCAAGAATAGTGCAAAGGGCTCTTCACTCGGATTACAGCCTTCTCTCCCAGACTGAATTGCTCACCCCACTGTGAACCCCCTAAATTTGAGACAGGTCTCAGTTAATTTAGAGAGTTTATTTTGCTAAGGTTGAGGATGCACCCGTGACAGCCTCAGGGAAGTCTTGACAAAATATGCCCAAGGTCATCAGGGCACAGCTTGGTTTTACACATTTAGGGAGACATCATGAGACATCAGTCAATATATGTAAGAAGTACATTGCTTCATCTGGAAAGGTGAGACAACTTGAAGCAAAGGCAGGAAGACTTAAGTGGGGAGGAAGCTTCCAGGTCACAGATGGCTGACACACAAACGGTTCCATTCTTTTGAGTTTCTGATCAGCCTTTGCAAAGGAGGCAATTCAGATAAGCATCTATCTCAGTGGGCAGAGGAGTGACTGAATCAATGGGAGGCAGGGTGCCCTAAGCAGTTCCCAGCTTGATTTTTCCTTTGTGATTTTGGGGGCCACAGATATTTTCCTTTCACATTTCCCCCCTTTTCTTTTTAAAAATCTGTTGGAGAAAGCATTTTACAAGAAAATAGGTCTCTGGTCTCAGGTTTCATTTGATCTCTCATGGCTAGGATGGTTTATTACTTGATAAGTAGGTCCCAAAAGCTCATTTTTAGCAGGTTGTGAAGTCTCATGTCCTGTGAAGAGAAAATAGTGGGGAGGAAGAGAGGAAAAACAACAACAAACAAAAGAACAATCCTGGAAAAATTGATATAGGCCACATTACTCTGAAGTCCATGGTTTAGTAGGCAGTGGTTTATGTATGTAAACAGGTTGCTGTTATTTTCTTCTGAAGTTTAAGTTGTCTGACTTCAGTTCACAGGATTTTAAGAGAGCACAGCTTAGTTTTCCAGTGACTCCAAATTAGGAAAAATGGAAAAAAAGAAGGAAAAAAATTGAAAACATTATTTTGGAGACTTGTAACCAAGACAAATTAAATTTGGTGCAAGCTGTATGCTCCAAATTTTGTTGATAAGAGTATACAAAATTGTTAAAAGCTTTCATTACCTCAAAAGAAGTTAAGACTCTGAAAAACAAAACAAGGGATCAGTAAACATATTAAAGAGTCAGAAAGATTGGTTAAATCTATGCAGCTAATTCCTGTTCTCTCATGTAGTTCATCAGTATCAACTCATGAACATTTTAGCTCTCCATGAATCCTGAAAGTTTTCCCTCTATTCTAATGTCACAGTCTCCAAAGTTATCAGAAACCTGCATTCAAGAGCACCAGTTGGAGGCTGGGTGTGGTGGCTCATGCCTGTAATCCCAGCACTTTGGGAGGCTAAGGCGGGCAGATCATGAGGTCAGGAGATCAAGACCATCCTGGCTAATGCGGTGAAACCCTGTCTCTACTAAAAATACAAAAAATTAGCTGGGCATAGTGGCAGGTGCCTGTAGTCCCAGATACTCGGGAGGCTGAGGCAGGAGAATGGCATGAACCCGGGAGGCAGAGTTTGCAGTGAGCCAAGATCGCACCACTGCACTCCAGCCTGGGCGACACAGCGAGACTCCATTTCAAAAAAAAAAGCACCTGTTGGAGATTTATAGCTGATTATAAGACCACCTTCTAAAGAGGACCAAAACAAGATAACAATTGTCCATGGATGAAAAAAAAGTTTTAAGGTAGCCATAGTTAAAAGACACAATTGACAAGGAAATTTGTTATCTCTGTGGCACATAATAATTGTAATATAACAATTATGATTATTATTGATAATGTATACTAAGTTATATCAGAATTACAGGAGTTTCCCATAATTTTGGAACACATACCAATAACATATTTATACATATACAGCCCAAAGAAAACCCAACACCACTTCATATTTGACAATGCCTCCTGTATAATTTTTTATACCAAATAAGCCAAATTATGTCTTTTTGGGCTTTAGGGAAGCTAATATCTTAAAGGATTAATTAGGTTAGAAAAACATATAATTCATAATTTGATTTTAGAAAGTTTGTCAAATATAAAAAGTTTAAAACACCTGATATTACAAAATAGGATCACAGGTCATTGTAAAGTCATGTATTTAATTGAAGTGATAATTCAAGGATTAGAAAAACACACACACACACACACAAACTGGTCAGGTGCAGTGGCTCATGCTTGTAATTCTAGCACTTTGAGAGCCCGAGGCAGGTGGATCATCTGAGGTCAGGAGTTCGAGACCAGACTAGCCATCATGGTGAAACCCCATCTCTAGTAAAAATACAAAAATTAGCTGGGGTGTGGTGGCTGGTGCCAGTAATCCCAGCTACTCAGGAAGCTGAGGCAGGAGAATCACTTGAACCCAGGAGACAAAGGTTGCAGTGAACCAAGATTGTGCCATTGCACTCCAACCTGGGTGACAAGAGCGAAACTCGGTCTCAAAAAAAAAGCAAAAACTTTCATTCTTTGAGGAGACAACTTTCTAAACAAAAAAGCCCTAATAAAAATAGCATGAAGCCAATTACATTTGTTTTCAAAATTTTACAATCTATACAATTTAATCTTGATTATAAAATATAACTTCCATAAGCCTTTTATAATCTTTATAACCTTTATAATAGAGTTGGCTAATGCTTCTAGAAAACCTTGTTAATCTGATATAGTCCATATACTGATTTTGCATCAGTGTGCCTTTGACATTAATTAATTTACAAAGAAACTGAACTTATTTTATCTTTGAAAATTGGCCCTTACAATCTTACATGCCCACCTCTTCTGCCTCAGGAACTGACTGAGATTTTGATGAGACTTTGATTCCATTCCTGGACACAGATTCAACTGGAGAGCTGCCCCTGGGGCCAGAGGAGTTCACTGCTGCATACCAGGATCTGAATGACAAGCTGACTCAGCAAGAAAGGCTCCCAGAGGTGGTTCCAATGCTAGACTGGGACCAGAACCAGGCCCTAGCTCAGCCTCTTCACCTCAAAAGTAAGGTTCAAACTGTAGATCGAGATCAGGCTGCAGATCATCAGGCATATGAAATACTTGTTCCACCTCTAGACAGTCAGAATTCAAAAGCAACCAAGTTTATTGTGTTGATGAAAAGAGTCAAACTCTGTAAAATATTTGAAGAGGTTTATTCTGAGTCAAATCTGAGTGATCAGGGTCTGTGACACAGCCCACAGGAGGTCCTAAGAACATGTGCCCAAGGTGGTTGGGATACAGTTTGGTTTTATATATTTTAGGAAGGCATGAGACATCAATCAAATACATTTAAGAAATACATTGGTTTGGTTCAGAAAGGTGGGACAACCCAAAGTGGGGGCTTCCAGGCTACAGGAAGGGTGCCTGGCTCTTAGCTGGTTCTCTCCTGGATCTGGAAAAAAAGGAAGGAAAACAAAGGGGGCAAGGGGATTCTCTATAGCATGTGGATTTTTCCCACAAGAGACTTTGCAGGGCAATTTCAAGGTATGGCAAGGAAATATATTTTGGGTTAAATATTTTTTCCTTGTTTCATAATGTTACGCCAGAGTCAGATTGAAAAGTAAGTCATGATCTATAGGGTCAAATAAAACCCATCTGATGAGAATTTGTGGTTTGTAGGGCATGCCTCCCTTAGACCCCTTAGGTAGGAATTTGGGCAAGATAAAAACTCAGAGCTTAGTCCTCAATTGTTTTGCCCAAGAACCTGAAGAAAGATCTAGCTCAGCATTGGAGGCTTGCTAAGGTTGTTGGAACTCCACGCTGATTTGTATCAAAACCTCAGCATCAGAAACAAATTTTGCAGGCTGAGTATTTAGATTCAGGTACGGATATGAGTGACCATGGCTCGTGACACAGCCCTCGGGGGGTCCTGAGAACATGCGTCTGAAAGATTCTCCCTGGGGCCTGAAAGCCTGGGGAGATGAACAGCTCCTCCCTTCCCAGGCCCAGTCCCAAGGTGCAAGGCCACTTGTGCCAGCACCGTGTGCCAGCAAGATAGCAGAAGCAGGAAGGGGGCTTGCCAGAAAACATGTACCCCTGCAGATTGAGAAGGAGGCCAACCGGGTACCACGTAGCAGTTATACCAGACTGGGACACTTCTTGTTTATAGGAGACTATAAAACCCCAGCCCCGTCCTCACTTGGGGCTGTCACCATTTTAGGCCTCAGCCAGCCTGCACCCAGGCACTCATTACCTTGTGTTGTTTGTTGGTGCGCTCTCGGGGTTCAAACAAACACAAGAACCTTACAGTGCCCAAGGTGGTTGGGGTACAGTTTGGTTTTATGTATTTTAGAGAGGCATGAGGCATCAATCGAATACATTTAAGAAATACAATGGTTTGGTTCAGAAAGGCAGGACAACTCAAAGTGGGGGCTTCCAGGCTACAGGTAAATTTAAACATTTTCTGGTTGACAATTGGTTGAGTTTATCTGAAGACCTAGGATCAATGGAAAGGAATGTTCAGGTTAAGATAAAAGATTGTGGAGACAATATTTTGTTGTGCAGAGGAATCTCTCAGCAGACTTCAGGGGGAAAGCAGGTTATAAATATTTCTTATCAGACCTAAAAGGGTGTCTGGCTTTTAGTTTATTCTCTCCTGGATCTGGAAAAAAAGGAAGGAAAACAAAGGTGAAAGGGGATTGATTCTCTATAGAATGTGGATTTTTCCCACTTGAGACGTGGCAGGGCAATTTCAAGGTATGGCCAGGAAATATATTTTGGGCTAAATATTTTTTCCTTGTGTCAGAGTCAGATTGAAAAGTAAGTCCTGATATATAGGGTCAAATAAAACCCATCTGGTGAGAATTTATAGTTGGTAGGGCATGAGTCCCTAGACCCCTTAGGTAGGAATTTGGGCAAGATAAAAAATCAGAGCTTAGTCATCAACTGTATCCGGGCAGCCTGCCTCCAGAACTCCAGTGAATTCAGATAAGCCTCAAGGGCACCCTGAGCAAGTTGGACTTTCTTAATTCCATCTAAAGCCTGAGACTCAAAACCCAGAGACCCTTGAAGAGATCCAGTCCTCTTAGCTCCAGCAAGAAGCCCCAGCACAGCTTCCACAAGCTCCCTGAGGAGGTAGAACCTTCTTTAACCCAGCAGGAGGCCCCAGCTCTGCCTTCTCAGTTCCTTGAGGGAGTCCAGTCTTCTTCAACAGAACAGGAGTCCCCAGCACAGCAGTTAACTCCCTCTGAAGAGATTGTAGCTCAGCCATCAATACATCATGAGGTAAATGTCCCATCGAAAAGTTGGAATGAAGCTTAGCACTCACACTTGCCCAATGTCAAGCCAGGCACAGGCTGCCTCTCAGCTCCAGAGCACCCCAAGGAAGTCAACTCTTCCTCAGCCCAATTAAAGGCCCCAGCTCAGACACCAGAGTTCCCTGAGGAGATGAAACCTTCTGCAACTCAGCAAGGGACCCCAGCTGAGCCTCCAGGTCCTCCTGTGGAGGTTAACCTTCCCCCAGTGAGCAGGAGCAGCCAGTTCGGCCTTCTGAGTTTCCTACGGGAGTTGAACCTTCTCAGACCCAGCAGGAGGCTCTAGCTCAGCCTCCAGAGTCTATGGAGAATGCAGCTCAAACTCCACCGAATCTTAGGGTGACAGTTCAACCTCCAGGCGAGGATCAAGCTCATTATAACTTGCCCAACATTACAGTTAAACCTGCAGATGTGGATGTTACTATAACTTCAGAGCCTACCAAGGAGACTGAATCTTCTCCAGCCCAGCAGGAGGCCCCAACCCAGTCTCCAGAGGAGGTGGAACCTTCTGCAACACAACAGGAGGTTCCAACTGAGCCTCCATGTCCTTCTGTGGAGGCTGACCCTTCCCCCAGTGAGCAGGAACAGCTTAGCCCTCTGAGTCTTCTGGGGATGTTGAATATTCTCCAGCCAAGCAGAAGACCCCAACTCAGCCTCCAGAACATCATGAAGTCAGTTTCACCTCTAGGTCACCATCAAGCTCAGCATTCTGATTTGCCCAATGTCACTGTTAAGCCTCCAAATATGCAGCTTACCATAGCAACAGAGCCTACTGCAGAGGTGGGAACTTCTCCAGTCTATCAGGAGGGTACAGCTCAGCTCTCAGGGCCAGTTAATGATGTAGAACCTTACAGGGGCCCACCTCTGCCTCCAGAGTCATTGGAAGAGGCTAGGCCTTTATCAGTTCAACAGGAGACTTCAGTTCAGTCTCCAGAACCTGTTAAGGATGAGAACCCCTCTGCAACCCAGCAGGAGGCTGCAGCTGAGCATCCACAGACCCCTGAGGTGGTTGAGTCTTCTCTAATCCAGCAGGAGGCCCCAACTCAGACTCCAGAGCCCTCTCAAGAAGTTGTAGCTCAACCTCCAGAGCATCATGAGGTAACAGTTTCTCCTCTAAGTCATGATCAAGTTCAGCCTCCAACATTGCACAATGTCACTGTTAAACCTGTGGATCACATGGTTACCATGACTTGAGATTTCACTAATCAGGTTGAAATTTTAACCCAACAGGGGGCCCCAGCTCAGCCTTTAATGTCCCCTGAGCAGTTTCAATATTTGAAAGACCAGCAGCAGAGATTATAATTCAGCAGCTAAATACCCTTGAAAATGATGAACTTCCTCCAGTCCATCAAAAGCCCACAACTCAGCCTCCAACTGAGCTCTCCTCAGACTTTGAAGGTTCATTGAAAGGTGGGATGATATTTTTCACCTCTAGATCTTTCTTCAACATTCAAAAGTAATTCAACTTTGCCTAATACCACAGTTAAAAATGTGAATATGGAGCTTCCCATACCTTCAGCAGTCACTGGAGGTTGAAACTTCTCCAGTCCAGCAGGACAACCCTCCTATTCCCACTGAGCAGGCTGACTTTTCTCTAGCCCAGCCTGATCTCCCTTCCCCATCTCTGCATTCTCCTGAAAAGATTGAACCTCCAGTCCAGTAAGAGGCCACAGCTCAGACTCCAGGTCGCCCTAAGAAGGTAGAACCTTCTCCAGTACAGCAAGAGTTCCAAGCTGAGTCACCAGAGCCCCCTAAGGAGGTTGAACCATCTGCAACCCAGTAGGAAGCCTCAGATCATCCTCCAAAGTCCACTGAAGAGGTCAGTCCTCCACTGCATCAGGAGATACCAACTCAGCCATCAGAGCCACCTGAGAAGGTCGAACCATCTCCAGTCCTACAGCAACCCCCAACTCAGCTTTTAGAGCCAGCTGAAGAGGTAGAATCCTCTCCAGCCTAGCAGGCAGGCCCTGCTCAGTCTTCAGAGCCCCCTATGGTGATAGAAACCTCTCTGACCCAGCAGATGGCCCCACCTTTGCCTCCAGAGTTCCCTCAGGAGTTGGACTATATCTAACTCAGCAAAAGGCTCCAGCTCAGATTCCAGAGCCCCCAGTGGAGGCAGAACCTTCTCCAACCCTGCAGGAGGCCACAGTTCAGACTCCAGAGTCCCCTAAGGACAGAGAACTTTCAAGACAGCAGATGGTACCAGCTCAGCTTCCACAGCCACCTAAGGAGGTTGCTGCTCAACCTCCAGCTCACTACGAGGTGACTGTTCCAACACAAGGTCAGGATCAAGCTCAGCACTCAATATTGCCCAGTGTCACAGTTCAACCTTTGGATCTGGGGCTTACCATCAATCCAGAATCCATGACAGAGGTTGAACTTTCTCCAACCATGCAGGAGACCCCAACTCAGCCTCCTAAGAAAGTTGTACCCCAACTTCCAATATATCAAGAGGTAGCAGTTGCGACACTAGGCCAGGATCAAGCTCAGCATTCAGTGTCACCCAGCATTACAGTTCAACCTTTGCACCTGGGACTTACCATAACTCCAGAACCCAGTACAGAGGTTGAACATCCTACACCCCTGAAGAAGACTATAGTTCCTCCAAACCACCCTAAAGTGACATTTCCACATCCAGACCATGTTCAGACTCAGTATTCAAACCTGACTCAAGCCACAGTTCAACCTTTTGACCGGGGGTTTACCATCACTCCAGAATCCACTACAGAGATTGAACCTTCTACAGCTCTGACGACTACATTTTCTCCTCCAAAACATCCTGAGGTGACACTTCCACCTTCAGACAAGGGTCAGGCTCAGCATTCAAACCTGACTCAACTCACAGTTCAACCTTTGGATCTGGGGCTTACCATCACTCCTGAATCCACTACAAAGGTTGAAACTTCTACAGCCCTGACGATTACAGCTCCTCCTCCAAAACACCCTGAGGTGACATTTCCGTCTCCAGACAAAGGTCAGGCTCAGCATTCAAGCCTGACTCAAGTCACAGTTCAACCCCTGGACCTGGAGCTTACCATAACTACAGAACCTACCAGAGGTTAAACCATCTCCAACCATGGAGGAGACCTCAACTCAGCCTCCAGACCTGGGGCTTGCTACAGAGATTGGACATTCTACAGCCCTGGAGAAGACTACAGCCCCTCATCCAGACCAAGTTCTAACTCAGCATCGAAACCTGATTGAAGTCACAGGTCTACCTGCTGAACTAGAACCTACTCAGGATTCACGGGTGCAGACTGAAAGTTATGCTCAAAATAAGGCTTTAACTGCACAAGAGGGAACTGACTCAACAGCTCAAGTTTGAGGATTCTACAGCAACTCTTTTCCACGAAACAAATGATATGACTTTTTAAAATTAATTTTGTGTGTGTGTGTGTGCGTATATATATATATATATATATATATATAAAAGGTTTTTTGTAAAGATGGGGGTCTCGCTTTGTTGTCCAGGCTGATCTTGAACTCCTGAGGCTCAAGTGATCTGTCTGCCTTGGCCTCCTGAAGTGGTGGGATTACTGGCACCAGCCACCGCGCCTGGCTCAAGCGCCTCTAGATTCACAGTAGACACTGCACTAGCTGATCCTTCCCATTTCTGGTTCAGGTCCTTCATTTCATACGTTAAGGTGCGCTGACTCCCAGTCCATGGCCTTTTTGATATCTTTATGGGAGTAGAATGTGGCAAGATTTTTATTAGCCTCAAAGACTCTCAAAGTTTAAAAAGTATTGTCCTAAATGATTTTTTTAAAATATCCCTTATTAGAAGAAGAAAACCCACTATTTTTGTAGAAGCCTTTTGCTGTAGAACAATGGGATGGAATAAAGGTAGCTCACAAAATAAGGGAATATTTCTAATCTTGTTTTTTCTCTCCAAATTCTTGTATACAGGTCCAGACAGATAGGCATTGTTTCCTTTCTATTAACTGAGGAGACAGGATGACAGGACTGGGGCATGTCATCACTGTCCTAAATGTACTGAAATCTTAACAACTTTAGCTGAAAAAAAGGCCAAAGCAGGCTGTGAAAATATATTTAAATGACAAACTTCAAAATGATCTATGCTAGAATCCCAAGGCAGGCAGGGAAAACTGATTCCTTGGAGGAAGGTAGTCAAAGAAATAAGCAAAGTGACCTAGACCCTCATCCAATTATGTGTGATGTACTTGGGGAGGGAGTAACCCCTTTCCTTTACTCATCTACGTATGTCCATGAGCCACGAGAACACACCTCTCCACATGAAGTTCCTCAATACAAGACCTCTGACTGCATCACGTAAACCCTCTTACAGGGGCAAAGTCTAGAGAATCTGAAATGGTGAGCCTATATCTTAATTAAAGCCCTGAGAATAACCTTGAAGAAGACTGCCTGGTAATGAGGAACAATGGAAGAAGCAAGGAGCCTGGAATCAGGCAGACCTGGGTTTGAATTCTGGCTCTGTCAGTTTCTGGTGAAGTGACTTGAATAATGAACATGACCCTTTCTGGGTAGCATTTACAGCACAAGGGCATTTGGGAAATAAATGAAAGACAATGTATATAGCACCTAGCAGGGGGCTGGACACAGTGCCGGTGCTCAGCCATCATGATGTCACATGTGCACTGGCCAGTGAGCATAAAACCTTGGGATGTCCAGAGGTGGTAAAGCCAGGAGTTCCAAAAGTGTGGGATTCTCAGAAGGAAATGGAGCTCTCTTCTCTAAAGGTCCTATTCAAGTTAGAAAGTAAGATACAATGCACACAAAGCCAAATTGTCATCATTCAGCTCCTATTACAGGGGAATGAAGAGCTTCATGGAAAATTACTTGCAAAGCTTGTAAGTGGTTTTGCCACTTATTAGCCATGTGAACCCAAGCAAATTACCCAGCATCTCTGAGTTTCAACTTCCTCATCTACAAAATAGGAATGATAATAGTATCCACATCACAAGAGTTGTTGGAAAAATGAAAATGAGATCTTATAGGAGGTAACAGGTATTGAGCATTTACCATAGGCCAAGCACTATTCTAGGAACTTTGGACATGTTATCTTGTTGGAGGCCACACAAATGTTTCTTATGATTAGGCATAATTGAAGCCTGTCAGTAACAACATGAACCTGTGATCAATTAAGCAGCTGACCAATCATTACCTCCTCCTCCTTGATCTTGTTATCCAATAAATACAAAGGGCTGTAAAAACTCAGGCGCTGCCTTTGCTCACTAGAAGCAGGGAGCTCTCTTCTTCTTCCCCATGCTAGCCTTTCCTTAAAACAGTTTATTTTGTCTTAGGTTTTCATTTCTACGTTCATCCCTTCGTTCAGTCTTGCAACGACAGTCTCAGGCAGTAAGAGTAAGTGCTGTAATGATGATCTCAAGCACTTAACAGTAATAACTGCTATAATGATGGTCTCAAGCAGTAACAGTAGTAACTTCTGTAATGACGGTCTCAAGTAGTAGCAGTGGCCGCCGGCCACAAGTGGCACCCAAACAGGGATATCAGGGAAAAAAAGAGACCTGAAGAGACCCAAAGGGACCTGAAGAAGCCTGCAAGGATAAATAGAGATAGAGACAAATAGAGATAGGTAGAGATGAGTAGGTAGAGATGAGATGAGAAGGGAGAGATGAGTAGAAAAAGAAAGGGACTTGCAGGAACTTGCAGAAACTAACAGGTACCATAGGAACAGATAGGGATAAAGACTAGCAAACACTAGCAATATAAGGTCAGTGCCCTAAAGAGGTACAAAAGTAGAGACTAGCAATGACTAGCAGAGATTCTCAGGGACAGATAGGGTCCTATAGGGACTTGAAAGAGGATGGTCTGCTGGAGAAAAAAAAAAAAAAAAAAACCCTAAAGCCCAGAGGAAAAAAAAACTAAAAACCAACCAGAACAAGAAGTCTGCCAGCAGCAACATAAGATCAGTGCTCTAAAAAGGTACTGGTCAGTGCCCTAGAGGTACAAAGAATGGGAAATTTTTGAATCAGGGTAACATGAGGAAGAATTTGGTTATTTTCTCTTTTTTGTTTGGAGTTTGGTATGTACCATCTTTTTGTTAGTTCAGGGTCTGAGATAATTTTTGCCCCACCTACAGCACCTATCAAAAGTGGTGAATAGGAGAGGGAGGATGAAAATTGACTTGTACCATCTTCTTTTGTGGCTACAGAAAGGCTAACTTGAGCTTTGGTTTTCACGGATTGTAAACATGTGCTGGCACCTGTGAGCTGTGCAGACGACTTGAGAGGTTTTCTCGGAGCTTGTCAAGATGTGGGAACTGAGCTTCATTGCTCTGCAGTATTGACTCAGGTAATGGCTAATTTGGTAGCTGACAGATCTAAAGGAAGCCAAGGGTCAAACCCTAAAGTGGGAAAGTGTTATAAGTGTAAAAAAACTGAACCTTTCAAAAAAGAACACCATCAGACCTCTGGGCAGAAGGGATTTTATAATGCAGCTTCCCACCCCACAACAGAAAAAATGCCAGGACTTTGCCCTCATTGCAATAAAGGAGATCATTTGGGCTAATCAATGCCACTCAAAATTTCATCAAAACAGCACCCCCATCAGGAAGCGAAAAGGGGGCCTGGACCTGGGCACCTCAAACTATGAGGGCATTCCCTGTCCAGGCCACAACTCCATTTCAGGGGTGGGTTTCTGGAGGCATATTGACTCCCTCTCCCCAGGAACACCTGGAAACACAGCATTAGATCTCCTAGCTAGAGAACAAATTACATTAATTGAAAGAAACAAACTCACTAAGATTCCCATTGGTATTTGGGGACCTCTGCCAACAAGATACATGGGATTGATTTTGGTAAAAGCTGTCTTATCTTACAGGCCCAGGAGTTGTTGATTCTGATTGTGAAGGAGAGATTCAGGTAGTGGTAATGTCACAAGATCTTTGGGTTTTTGAGCTGGGAGAATCTGTTGCTCAACTGTTGCTTATTCCCTGTATATTGTACCCTTCTCTACATAAGAAGAAGGGAGGAGGCCAGGGATTTGGAAGTGCAACTAGGAGAGATATCTAGCTATCACAACCCATAGCATCTAGTGGTCCCACCTGTACAGTGCAAATTGAAGGTTTAAGGATTGCTTTTTGCTATACTGTTGTACAAAAAGGATAAGCCTCAATTTTCTTTCTCTGTGCCTTCTGTTAATCAGAAAGAGCCTGGTTCTCATTATCAGTGGAAAGTTTTACCCTGCAGTAATTAACCAAAGAGGCAGAAGCTGAGTTGCAGCTTCTGCAATGGCTTCAGCAATGGCATGCCTCCTGGCTACAGCCACAAAAGTTTTTTTGCTTCTGTTTCGCTAGATTTACTGATGTGGGGTTGAGGGTATGCTTGTGTCTTTACAGAAGATGAACCACCATGTGGGTGCCCTCAAGGTGTCTTGGACCATGGAACAGGAGACTGGAGGGACCCATGGATCCCAACCATGGACCTGGTTCCCCAGTACAAGCCATGAGCCCGTTGAATTTGAATGTGAAGACAGAACAAGAACCGACTGGAGTCACGCTGACATCAACCCCCATAATATGGGGACAGATCAAGAAAACCACACAGGAAGCTCAGAAACTGCTGGAGCACCAGGGTTTCACCTTTTGCTGGAACTCAGAGGTACAATCGATGCTTAACGGACCAATGCTTTCTGACTGAGCTCCTCTCTACCCTGAATACAAGAGACCCTAATAGTTAGGCAAGAATATCATCACCCCTATTCAGCATGAAGAAGTTGCAGAAGATGGACCTTCGTCCCTCTGCAACCCTTAGGATTAAAGGTCCTCTTGTAAAAGGGAAGGGGGACATATGTAAGAAGCATTCAAACCAGAACAACTCCATTTTGAATAAAGGCTAAGAAAAATGAAGGTGGCTCACCAACTGGTAATTGAGGCTCAGCCTGCAATTAACTTGCTCAATTAATTTAAAAACAAAAAGGGGGAGACGTTGGAGGCCACACAAATGTTTCTTATGATTAGGCATAATTGAAGCCTGTTAATAACAATATGAACCTGTGCTCAATTAAGCAGCTGACCAATCATTACCTCCTCCTCCTTGCTGTTGTTACCCAATAAATACAAAGGGCTACAGAAGCTCAGGGGCTGCCTTTGCTCACTAGAAGCAGGGAGCTCTCCTTCCCCATGCTAGCCTTTCCTTGAAACAGTTTTTGTCTTAAGTAGCCTTTCCTTAATACAGTTTATTTTATCTTAAGTTTTCATTTCTACATTCCTCCCTTAGTTCAGTCTTGTAATGAGGGTCTCAGGCAGTAACAGTAACTGCTGTAATGATGGTCTTAAGCAGTAACAGTGGTAACTGCTGCAATGATGGTCTCAAGTAGTAGCAGTGGCAGTCGGCCACATTATCTCACTTGTATAAGTATGCCTAGAATATAAATAGCACCTAATAAATGTA